GGGGACAAGGAGAGGTTAGGAAGTAGTTTAGGAGTAGATTAGTCTCATTTAGTCTTTCTATTGATCTCCTAGGTGACATTGAAAGATCTACAAATATTAGAGTTTTTATTTATGCATATTAGGATTAAGAAATTCACAATCATCTTATATTTCACCATTTGTTTTCTCACCTAATTTTTCTTCTCTTGGTGATTGAAAAATCATCAAAAGATGATTCATCTATTCCCCTTTTAGTGTACTTAAGTCAACTCTCTTCTATCTCCTCGTCTCATTCTTCAATCGTAATTAAAAATTAAATCTCTCCTTAGTTTAGATAATTCTATGTGGTTCGACTCAAATACTCAAACTATATTCATTAGTATCATTAGAAAGAAATTTGAACATATAAATTTTATTTTTAACACTTCTTAATTATGACATTTTGGAGTAATCAAAGTGCTCGTGCAAGACGGCCATGATTGTCTATCTAGGATATTGAGTTTCAGTAGACAACAAGGTCATGGACTATTAAAAGGTCAAAATAGTTATTTAATGGCTGATGCTAAGCAACCTACGCGAGCTTCAAGGATTTTTGAGCTTAATATGATATTATTGGCGGTCATCTAAAGTAGAAGCACTATCTATTATGGAAGAATTTTTTTATTTATACAAAACAAAGGAGTCTACAATTTATCATGGAATAACGTCATATCTTTCTAGAGTACCAAAGTGACTCTATATGACCATTATGTTTGATTTTGAGATCAGATTCAAAGTTGAGAGTGAAAACAGCGCTATAGATGCTTTGTCTCGAGTTCCAGATGTCAGTTTACTACATGCGACTAAATTGTTTCGACCAAAGCTGCATGATATGCATATAATTGCTGAAGAGAATTGAGTTGATCCAACTAGAAATCATGACCCAACTAGAAAGCTGCCGACATTATTCATTACATCACAAGAAACTATTCTATGGAGGACGACTCGTCATATTTGAGAATTTGCAGCTCATCTCAAACATACTTTAGGAATTTCAAAGCTCAACAATAGGAGCACATTTTGAGTCCAAGACACTAGATTGTCGAATTATGTAGAGTGTTCACTGGAGAGGCATGTTAAGTGCATCTAAAAATTCATAGCCAATTACACAATTTGTCAAAGAAATAAGTCTAAATCACATGACCCATGCAACCTCTTCCAACCTCTCCCAATTTTGACACTAATTTGGATAGACCTTAATATAGATTTCATTGAGACCACTAGCTTCTAAAGGATATAACTATATCTTAGTCATTGTGGATCGACTAAGCAAATGTACACATTTTTCCGCTCTTTGGCACCCCTTTATGGTGAAGGACATAATGATGATCTTCATCCAAGTTGTAGTGTGGCTGCACAGATTTTGTGAAGTCTATACTCATGAATAGAGACCAAATGTTTATAACCTTCTTACGGAGTGAAATCTTCAAGCTCCATGGCACAACCCTCCATCAAACAAGCTCATACTACCCTCAGACTAATAGACTATTGGAAGTGGTCAACGAAGTTTGAAAACTTACATTTGCTATTTTTCAAGGGATTGTCTATGGTTTAACACTTAATTACAACTCATTCTCATGTTTCTCTCCGTTTAAGATTATTTAGGGCTATGACCCCGCCACTCTAATGAAGTACAAACCAAGTATTACCATCACAGCCGACATCAACTAGCTCATATGAGAGAGAGATCAAACTCTCAAAAAACTCAAGCTCTATCTCTAGTGAATTCAAGCATAGATGAAGGCACACGCAGACCACGGACAACATGACCTTGAGTTCCAACTAGAGGTCTTTGTCTACCTTAGACTCTGGTCATATAGGCAACAATCTTTAGACTGATGACCCTGCGAGAAGCTCCGCCCACACTTCTTTGGCCCATATCAAGTCTTGGACATAATCGGATCTGTAAAGTACAAGTTAAACCTTCCAAACTCTACAATAATACATCCCATCTTTCACACCACAAAGCTCAAGAAAGCAAAAACCTTCACAACAGTGATCTGCTCCAAAACATTGTAATTAAAGAGTGTCAAAAATAAAATTTATGATGTTCAAATGTCTTTCTAATGATACTAATGAGTATAGTTTAAGGAGTATTAAAGTCGAATCACAAAGAGTTGTCTAAACTAAGATAAGATTTAACTTCTAATCAATATTGAATTTTTGATGAAGAATGAGATGAGGACATAGAAGAGAGTTGACTTAGGCACACTAAAGGGGGAATAAATTAATCTTATTTTGATGATTTTTCAGTCATCAAGAGAAGAAAATCAGGTGAGAAACAAATGGTGAAGTATGAGATGATTGTGAATTCTTTAATCCTAATGTATGTAAATAAAAACTCTAATCTTCTTAGATATTCCTATGTTACATTAGAGATCAATAGAAAAACAAAAGCAGATTAATCTACTCCTAAACTACTTCCTAACCTCTCTTTATCCCTCTCTAATTCCAATGAATGCTCAACTTTGATGAATCAAAAGAACAAAACAATATGGAAGGAGAAGGATCAAAAGAAGGGTCTAAAGTATCCTAGATATGTCCTACCTTGCTCACTCTTAGAAATGTGATCAATCTTGATAAATCAAGAGATCCACATACATCAAGAGAAGCAAGAGAAGTGTATAAGGGTTGGATTCTATCCTAGGATCAACCTAGTGTCACTCTAGGGATCAAAAAATAAAGCCCTTAGATTATGGGGGAGAGTGCACAGCCCTTGGATTAGATTTATCTCCCCAAGGGCAGCCTAAGGGAGGTGGGAGGCTGCTAGGGTGTCTCCTCACCTTCCCTTACCCTAGGACTTATCTCACCCCTTGGATTGGGCTGATTGAGCGGCTGAGATAGTCCCAAGGGTTGTTTAATGAGGGAGAGGGACGTGGCTGATCAGATGGTGCCACAAATCCCTCCCTCAAATTAAGGAAGAAATGAACCGCCCACCTTAAGTGGGCAGTTTCCTTAATTTGAGGGGAGAGAAAACGCCTCCTTCTTGTTGGGCCTCCTCCTTCATTAATATGGGCTGTCCAGCTGACCCATGGGCCTAATATGACCTGAAACATAGTATTAAAATAAAGCCCATTACTCCTTAAATAAATAAATATAATAAATTAAGTATAAGGGAGAAATCAGCATGGTAAATCTTAAACTCATTTATACATGAGTTTACTTAGGGCTTAAGAGATGCATAATAAATCATAAAAACCATATGATTTATGCTTTATATTTTAAATAATCATGAGTCAAAGCACTAATATTAATTCGGATTTAATATAAAATTACGGAAAATAGAAAAACCTTTGGAATATTTATTTAAACTTGAAATAAATCTTCTAATACTAAAAAAAAATTCTAAAAACATCTAAAAATCAGGAAAAATACTTTGATCATATTAAATCATTATAAAATATTCAAATCATAATTTAGATATCAAATGAAATTTATTTATAATTATCATTCAAGTGAAGCATATAAATAAATAAATACACATGCTATAGAAAATAAGGAAAATTTATGAAATTAAGCATGTATTTAAAACATTCATCATAAATTATGCTTCACTTATTTTATGTGATTTTTCATGGTATCAAACAGCGAGCCCAATATCATACATTATTGTATTGTTAAATGTCATTTTGCATGAAATTAAGCATTAATTGTTCAAATTATCCCAATATCTCCCCTTAGTATGAATGAGGTTCTCACGTGGATTGTCCAGCCATTCGGCATGGGCCACAAGGCTTAAAAGCACTCATCAAATGGCTCAGTCTACCAGCTCGGAAGCCATGTGGGAGTCCGTACGTGTCATCCACCAACAGTTCCCAGTGTTCCAGCTTGAGGACAAGGTGAATTTCCAAGGCGGGAGTATTGTTGAGGCCGTCACAACCTGAGGTCACCCACGGAAAAATACGTACTTCAAACCGTTCTGTTGGCAACACCCTTGTAGGAGGGTTTGGAGGACTGCCACGTGACAGCGGGCAACAGGCCGATAGAGACCAAATCCCGTGGCTCAGCCTTTAAAGAGAGGCTAGGTCGAGACCAACGCCGCATTCCCGAAGGACGTCACCTGTGAGACGATCCTTCGGTTATCCCTTCATTCTAGAGTTGTCTTGAAGTCAGTGTAAGTGCCGTCCCGGCGAACCAGTCCTTTGTCTTTTCCCTTACAATCAGCGTTTTTCTCTCTTCTTCCTACCCTGACCTTGGGTACTCATCAAATTTCCCATCGATGATAATCGAGAAGATGCCAATTCACCCAAATCAAGCAACAAAGCTCGGAAAATCCAGTCTCTAGAATTGGCCAAAACAAGCTATCACCGGCCGACAAGGACTTCCTGCTGGAGACCTTCCTAAGCTTAGTCCTGCGCTCTCTTCTCACGGGTACAGCTTCGTGTGGAGAGGGAGAGAGAGAGAGAGAGCGCGGCGGATCTCTCCTTCCTCCTTCAGCGTCCTGGCCTTCACGTCTTGCAGCCCGTCCGATCGGATCTGCCGCCCAATCGTCCAATCGGATCCGATCATGATCCCAACGGACCCACAAGAAACCCGACCTTTTCATGGTCATCGGAGTCTCGGATAATGAGGGAGAAAAAAAAAATATATGATCCCTTAAATTCCGAGCGTGAGAGGATTTAAATTCCCCCACCGTCGGTCAACGTTCACCCCCCCCAAGTGCCGCCTCCTGTCGGAGCAACTTTCTTCTTCTTCTTCTTGTGCATCGACCACCTCCTCGCCGCCTCGGCGACCGCCGCTGGAGTCCCCATCGACGATCGCCACCGTCTGCAGCATGCCCGTCATTGCCTCCCTACAATGAGAGTAAGGAAAGAAAAGGAAATATTTGCCCACATGAAAATTCGTCCGAATTGTTTTTTTAAAAAAATCCCCACATTTCTTCAGACCCACAGGAATCTAAATGGCTCCCACAGAAGCCCGAATCAATGTCCTATCGCAATTCAAATGCATAATGTAAAGTTATAAAATCATACATGAAAATCTCAGGAACGCACTGACAAACAACTACACCCACCTTTGAGGCACCGGTCAATGAACTCCAGACCCGCAGCCTTCAGCCCGGGACAGCGATGCCGCTCCGCCAGAGCCAGGTTGTCGGCCACTGTGTCCTCCGTGATCTCCTCTGACAGCTTGAGCTCACAAAAGCGCTTCAGCCGGTCCAGCCAGTAACGGTCGGCAGCGGCCAGGAGATGCCGGAGGAAGATCGTCGGGTTACACATCGGAATGGACATGGCGAGCTCTTGGACGTCCGGGAAGCCATCGGAGTAGATGAACTGAAGCATCGCCTGCAGACAGAAAATAAAAACCGCAGAAAATATTCACATCCAGATGAAAAATTATGCTTCATACAGGGATACCATCACCCGATCCATTCAGTGGAGCAGGAATGAAATCGGCTATATGCTTCCACCTGAAACGCATTACTGTTCTTGATATCAGAAACAGGCCCATCGTTCTCGAACTCTCCCCAGCTCCTCCCCTCCGTTTGGAATAGTGGCGTATTCAAGGTAAACATTATTGAAGGAAACTCGCTATTTAAGCAGATAAAGGCGTAGCCGAAACAAATAGGCTAATTAATTATGATCAGAGAATGCTGACGGAAGCTACCTTGAAAACGGGGGGTTCTATTTCCTCCACATCGACTTTATCTAAATTTGGATCCCCGATCCCACCGAAGAACTGGGCACGGAAGACGGGAGAGCGAGCGGCAAGAATCAACTTGTGGGCCTTAAAAGACTCGCCGGCGACTACAAAGACTATGTCGGAACCCATCTCAGTCCTCAATAGTTCACCCAGGCTGCGACCCAAGTCCGACGTCGGAACAGGAATACTCCACTGTATGGGCGTCACCGTGCGAGTCTTGACAACGCTGATTGCACATTCGAAAAAAAGAGAATCGTTCTGGAGAAAGTTCGATCTTTCCAGAGCTGCTTTCTTGATAAACCTTATAGAACCCCTGCAATTGCAGCGGCAAAATTAGAAGGAACTCGTCATGTTTGTGACTCACACCAGGAAGCGAATCTGCAGACGGCGGAGGGCGCACATACCAACTCCAGCCGTTTCCCTTGAGGTTGACAGGTTCGAAGCGACTAGAAATGGTGTCCCTCTTGTACCGTACTTTGCCTCTCTGATCGGTCATAGCAAGGTCGAAAAGCGCTCGACAGTCTGGTTCCCCGGTGACCAGGGTGACAAAGAGGGACACGTAACCACCATTGTCCTCTGGGCCAAGGCCGTCCGGGTAGAAGTGGATGGCCCACCGAAGCCCTCCCACTGAGAAGACCTCGCTCGAAAGGAACTTCCCGACCCCCATTCCTTTCGCCTGAGAGTACCCCGCCAAGACGTAACGGTGGGAGCCTTCCACGGTGCAACTCACCGACATCGAGCACGAGACCTCCGGCTGCTTCTCCCGCCTCCGGGAACCTTCCGCCGTAACCCACGACGTTGACGGCAACATCATCGGGTTCCCGAACCCCGATGACTGACGACCAAACTCGTAAAGAAGACTCCGGCGACGAATTCTTGCAGGCGCGGAGGAGAAATCGGAGTAATCCGTCGAAGTCCCCAGGGAAGAAGGAACATTCCCGGCGTAACCCTAGCTAGCATTCAGGAAGAAGGAGAGGGGATCTTCTTGATCTGAACGGAGGCGGCATCGCCTATGGCTCCGAAGGGGAGACGGCGCTCGGCCGAGCCAACCCCATAAAAGATAATGGGTAAAAACCCCTAGAAAATTTTATAGACAGTTACGATTTCTTGTAACCATAAACACTTTTGAAACAATGAAAATTTGAGTTGAATGATTTAGAAGACCTTCTGTTTTCCCGTTGCACTACTGTGTCCCTTAAAACGTCACGCTCGTTCTTCAATCATTCATCTTAGAAGTACTTATAGCAAATATTTAATGTAAGTAGACTATTTTATGTAATTATGTAGATATAGATAATTAGAAATAATAATCTCTGTTGTGTGTGTGTGTGTGTGTGTATAGGCTACTACATTTTATTAGGAGGTAATCTCGTCATATGGCAAAGTAAAAAAGAAGCAGCCGTTTTAAAAGGAATGATCGAGTGTAAAAATTGAATAATAGAACAAAAGGGAAATCCAACAGCTCCAGTAACTTGTTTAATGACCAGCTGGAGCAGATCCTGTGCTCCTCTCCTCCGTTTAGAATAATAGAATTAACCATTTTCATAACGTTCATTGTAAGAAAACTATCTCGGGTGCGGGAGCTTCCACGGTGATCTATCTCTACACATGCTTAAGGGTCCTCCAGAGAGAAATCCATCCATTTCTTTGCGTATTAAAGGTATACAGAGCTCTGAATACCATAAGCACGCAGGAACTCAAAGTAAAACTCGTTATTTGTGCAAATAAAATGCTCAGCGACCAAAGTTGGCGAGAGGTTGAAGCAAATAGGCCAATAAATATTTCATGATAATATGAGAGAATGCTGATAGAAGCTACCTTAAAACAGGAGGCTCTCTTCCCTCCATCTCGACTCAATCTAAATTCGGACCCCCGATCATACCAAAGAACTGGGCACGGAATACGGGAGGACGAGCGGCAAGAATCAGTTTGTGGGCTTTAAAAAACTATGTCGGAACCCATCTCAGTCATCAACAATTCGTCCAGGCTTGGACCCAAGTCCGACGGAGGAACAGGAATACTCCACTGTCCGGGCGTCACTGTGCGAGTCTTAGAAAAGACGATCGTGCGAATCTTGACAATGCTGATCGGCTGATAAGATTTCATGGTAATATAATCAGAATCTTCCTGGAGAAAGGCCGATCTTTCCAGAGCTGCTTTCTTGATAAACCTCTTCGAACCCCTGCAATTGCAGCGGCAAATTAGAAGGAACTCGTCGTGATGTAACAACGACACACACGATGAATCAAATCCGCAGAGAGACAGAGACAAAAGGGAGCATGGACGTGAGGAGAAACCGGTGTAGAACACACAACAGAAGCTAAAACGTTGTTTCAACCATCCGCTAGAAAAATCAGATGAAAACAGGAAAGTTGTCGGAAAGGAAGGGCGAACAGAGTCGACAGAATATTTCGTAATGTATAAATATAGATCGTCCAAGTCATCGAGCAGCTTTGTCTCACAACAAGGTGAAGGACAGCACGCCGAGGCGTCCGCCTCATGGGTGGGGAATGGCAGACGGCGGAGGCACACATACCAGATGTGGTTGTATCCACAGAGGCGGAGTGGTCCGTCAGGCCTCTTGCCACCAAAACGGCTTTTCACCATGTGCTCTCCTTTGCCGCTCTGATCCACCAAAATAAGCTCGAAGAGGCTCTCACGTATGGATCATTGGTGATCCGATTAACGAAAACGGACACGTAATCGGCATCCTCTCGGTTCTTGCCGTCCGGGTAGAAGTAGATAACCCACAGATATTCCCCCACCGAGAAGATCTCGCTCGCAAGGAACTTCCCGATCCCCATTCCTTTCGCCAGAGAGTACCCCACCACCACGTAACGGTAGGAGCCTTTCACGGTGCGACCCAACGACGTCGACCACGAGACCTCCGGCTGCTCCTCCCGCCTCCGGGAACCTTCCACCGCCGCCCACGACGTTAGCGGCAGCATCATCGGGCTCATGAACCCCGAAGACTGAGGCCCAAACTCGTAAAAAAGGCTCCGGCGACGAATTCTTGCAGGCTTGGATGAGATATCCGAGTAATCCACCGGGGGGATCTTCTTAATCCGAATGGAGGCGGCGCCGCCTATGATTCCGGTGGGGAGACGGCGAAAACCCTCTCACAGCTCGGAGGTGAGACTCGCCGGAGTGACCGTCTCGCGCTGCCCGACGGTTATGCGGAAATTTCGGACCGGCTCGGCCCAGACAACCCTGTAAAGGTAACCAATAGCTAAAAACCCCTAAAGAATGTATATATACAAGAACGGTTTAAAATATAAGCATGTTTAAAATAATGAAAAATTGGGCTGAATTATTTATCACCCCTTGTGTTTTCCAGTTGCACTACTTGGTACCAGAAAACAACATATACTCTTGCTTTTCAATCATTCGTCCTGATCAGGTGCTTTTACAAAATATTTTCTGTAATTATGTATATCGAAATAATTACAGGTACCTCTCTCTCTCTCTCTCTCCCTCTCTCTCTTCCTTCTTTCTCTATCCTGCAGAGTTCAGCAAACAAGTTTCGTGCCGCCACCCTCAGCATCCCGGTCAAGATGCAGAACCTTTCTCCTAAGTAATGAACTCTATTGTACTCGGAGAGAGAGAGAGGTGACGAGGATGGGTGATTTTTTCCTCGGCCTCAGTAAGTCGGGCTTCTGTAGCCTAATCCTGGCAGAGAGGGAGGGAGAGAGAAGAGGTAAGAATCGTTGATTCTTCCATGGTTTGGACAAACAGTAAGATTCATTTCCTCCCCACTGAGAGCAAGACCGGTTTCCGCAGCTTAATCAGAAGGAAGATAGGTTGATATATACATATATAGATATATACAATATCGAGAGAGAGAGAGAGAGAGAGAGAGAGAGAGAGAGAGAGAGAGAGGGGAGAGATCTGTCTCTGATACCAGAGGGATCCCCCTCTCACATCCTCTGCCGATATTAAAAGGAACTCTGAACTGGCGAAGGTGAGAGACGCCGACGGGCATAGATTACTTGATAATAAAGGAAGCGGCGTCCGGACAAGCAAGGGGATCGATGGAACGTCTCGTCGGCTCCGCGGAGGACCATGTTATGTGCTCGTGCCGGCGGGGCGCCGATCAAGAGTTCTACTCAGAACCCTGCATATACTATGCTCGTACTACCGCCGGCGCGGCGCGTAGCTTCGTTTCCCTCCGCAGGGAATATTGGGGAGCTTAAACCATGAAAGATACAGTCGCCGTTTCCAGTAGGGCACTGTTACTCGAAAACTTCGTCAATCTAGAGAGAGAATCAGACACGGTCAGCGTTTATCTCTCTCTCTCACACACACACACACACCCATTTTCCGGGCTTTTGCCCGGAACTTGTTGACGACGACCGGGGTAGGGAGGGCTTGGCGAGAAGAGGGCCAGATCCAACCTGGTGACGCCCTTGTGACTGAGATTCTCCTCCCGAAGAGCTGTACGAGTCAGAGGGCTTGATAAACAATGTCTATTGAGTTTGACGGAAGCTTTAGGTTCCCCCCAAGAAGAGTGATCTCATAAGGTGGTCAATCGTAATCAGCTATGTCGTTTATGTGATATTCGATGAATTTACGTACTCATTACATGATTAGTCTTACTTAATTCATTTCTCGCGTGATAGATTGATTGACATTTGGACTCTCTTTCTCCCAGCCCCCCCCCCCCCTCTCTCCCCTCTCTGGCAGACTGCAATTTCCGTGGATGATAATCGAGAAGATGCTTATCTGCGCAAAATCAAGCAATGGAAAATTTGAAAATGCCGTCGCTCGAATCGTCCAAAACAACCAATCACCGACCGACTAGGACTACCTGCAGGAGACTTTTCTAGGTTCAGCTCTGCACTTTCTCTTCTCATGTTTACAGCTCGGCAGAGAAAGAGAGAGAGAGAGCGGCGGGCCTCTCCTTCTTCCTTCAGAGTCTGCGCAGGGCGCGATGGAGGAAGGTCGGTGCCGCAGGCTGACCGGGGGGAGTCGAGTCGGGGACCTCGCTGGCGGCGCTGCCACAGCCGCTTTCTACGACGAGTATTCCTTGGAGGAAGACTCAGCCGGGCAAGGCTACCCATGGCCCCCCAGATCTTACTCGTGCAGCTTCTGCAGGAGAGAATTCCGATCGGCCCAAGCTCTCGGCGGCCACGTGAACGTACACCGGAGAGACCGAGCCAGGCTGAAGCTGTCCTCCGCGACCCAGATTGAGATCGGCCTCCGCCAGATTCCTTGCCCCCCGGGTGTTTCAGTGGGGACGTCTAGATCACCCTCTTCTTCTTCTTTTAGGGTTTCAGGGACTTCCACCATTGAAAGCCCTAAAGAGCAGATCCTTGTCTCTCCTTCCTGCCTTTCACATTTCTTCAACGAAAACCCAGATGAATCTTCAGTTCAGATTCCAATGGGGGAGGGTGATCTCAAGGAGAAGGCGCCAGGTGGCAAAAGGAGGAAACACGACTTGACTGTTCCTCACGCTCTCCGATTCTCTGTGGCTGGCGAGAGTCTTCTCCAATCTCAGACACTTGGAGGTGTCTCTATTCCCGCTGAGGAAATAGATCTCGAGCTTAGGCTTGGAGGATCCGCCTTCGGCTGACGGTGGTCCGGTAGCTTTGTTATTCACTCTGTACTCTCTTTCTCTCTCTCTCTCTCTCTCTCTCTCTCTCTCTCTCTCTCTCTCTCTCTCTCTCTCTCTCTCTCTCTCTCTCTCTCTCTCTCTCTCTCTGTGCTTCCGTGGAAGCCTTCGTGATTTCATGTCAACATTTTCTTTGATTTTCTTCACCTGGAGGCCTGAACTCACACATATGATTGTTTCCTTGTGTTTTGCTGAGATGATTGAAGGCCGTTAGCCGTCGATACGATCGGACCTAAGATGATCTTCTTCCCTCAGCCCTCTTCCCGTGGCTCGTCCGAAGCTTGCGAGGGATTCTGACCGAGATACCTGATCGCTTCTGCGTTAAATTCACTTCTCGATGTTGCTATCGGCATTCAGGGAGCCGGGAGTTCAACTGCGATAGGCGTCCATACGCGGTTAGATTCGTCATCAGCCCACGTCGAGATAGTTTAATGTGGGGGGGGAGGGGTGGAGGGTAGAGAGAGAGAGTGTTTCATGTGGAGATTGAGAATGGGAGAGTAGCCTAGAGGGTCACTGTGGGAGACGGATAGAGAAATATGAGAGAGAGAGAGAGAGAGGATTTTATGTGGAGATTGAGAATAGGAGAGTAGTCCAGAGGGTCACTGTGGGAGACGGAGAGAGAGAGACTCAGATCGTTACCTGGAGGGAGAGGGAGTGAGATATCTATGGATGCATGTAGCGAGAGAAGGCTAGAGGGAGAGGGGGATCTTGTAGAGAGAGTGCGGACAGCGACATATGCAGAGCAAGAGAGTCATCGTCGGAGCGAGAGAGAGAGAGAGAGAGAGAGAGAGAGAGAGAGAGGGGCAGGAGTGGGGGCCTGTAATCGAGAAGGGAGGCAACGGGTAGGTGCTGAACTGCATGTGGGAGTGACGAGGTCTTCTAGATTTTTGCTTGTGCCGTGCGTAGCCAACAGGACGACTGACAGACCCATTCAAGCTCCAGAGACGAACCCACGTGCATGTCGGCCTGCTGTGCCTGCAGCAGTCGCGTTGACTCCCTTTTCCGATGCATTCCCCTCCGACCACTGTTTGTACTCGGGCATCCATCCATCCACATCTATCTCATCATGCATACATACAACATACATGCATATATACTGAAAGCGTACATGAACGTGGCTCAATGGGAGTCAGCCGCCTGGCAGGATGGCCCACCAGACAGGAGGAGTGCCACGTGGCGCTTGAATTAGCAGAATCCGATGATTCGTTTTAAAAATATAGAGGTTGTGAACAGGATCGACGTGTCCAGTTGTGGAAGAGGCAACGCAGTATGATTGTGGGCCACCCAAAGCTCCTGTTGGACTCCCCATTTACTTTGTTTTATGATTTCAATGGCCCGGTCCAGTCGTGCTGAACGGTATGCTGTTGCCGCGTCTCTAGGCCCACTTAAAAATATGGGCTACCCAGCCCCCCCCTCTATATTTCAATTGATGGGCCGAACAGTGTAACCGACGCCGGCCCATTATGGTGACCGATTCCAGAGGGCAAGCACGGCCTGGAGCCGGTTTCCTCGTTAATCTTCTGTCTACCTACCTGGCGCCCAACTAAGGGCCCATTAGAGAAAGCCCAATTCGTGGTTTACTCAAATGGCAAGATTCAATGATTGGGCGTCATAGGCCCGCCTAGCCCACGCCGGTAAATGGGGCCCACAACTTTTGGGCCATTAGTGAGACCCAACGCTTAGTAGGCTCAAGGCCCGTTTTCGGCCCGAGCGGCGTGCGTAGTTTATGCGTAATCTGATTTTACTAATCGGCAACTTTCGTAGGCTTTGGGATGCGCGGTGGGGATTCCCTACGCCGTCATTTTCCGCGTCCATAACGATGATTTGGACCTATCCTTCGTGGAAGGTGGGCCGGCGCCGGACACGTCCCCGTCCGACGTGGACGTGGCACTAAAAAGATTGGGGGAAAGTGGCGCCGGGAGTCCACGTCGTCTTCCCTCACGACGAGCCCCAAGTTGCACTCTTGAGGCCCGTCGAGACAGGGCACGTGACGACATGACTCCCCGCTGTAATAGACAGGAGAGGAGAGAGAGAGAGAGAGAGAGAGGAGAGAGGGAGGGAAAGGATAGGGTGATGGTCCACACCGACGAGTTCTCCCGATCATGTGGGGTTGCGTGTGGGAAGCGGATTCAAGGCGACCGATTAAATCGTTGACAGCCGGGGGACGATCGCCACACGTTTCTTCAACGTTGACGAAGCGCTGGAGATGAGTCGAGGTCATGTGTTGGCACGCAGAGTAGGACAACCCCGCTCTCTCTCTCTCATCTCTCTCATCTCTTCTTTCTCTCTATTAGTTTGATTGCATCACTTCAACCGTCTTCGAGAGCAGCTGATTGGATAGAGAGGGGAGAGGGAGGGGGTGGGGACTACCCACCGGATGAGAGATACATTGGCCTTTAGACGTTCGTCGCCTCCGACGAGTTGGCTTATCCCGCTTGACTTGAATGGCGAGGGAAACTCCGGTCCCCGACAAGGCCCCTTGATTTTTTTACTCAATCACGAAACAGTCGACGGGAATCCGGAGCATGTGCTTGGAGCTCATTGACCATTCACCAGAGGGCGAACTCGAACTCTTATTCTCAACTTGCTTCGCTTTTTTCTTAAAAGATAGAGACAGAGCGACAAAGATATACCCACTTATATATATAAATATGTATATACGTCTGGAAGGGGAGGGAGCGGAGAGTCAACACGGAGGAGTTTCAGAAGAACAAGACAGATGAGATATTATTAGACGATCGGAGGAGTTCAGCGTGGAGGATGTAGAAACGGGGATTCATCTCGATTAAAATATGGGCATGATTTCCCCCCGTCAAATCGAAGAAATCGTACGTCCTAGTCGACACAGGCCACTATGCACGCGTAGACAGGAACCAAAGAAGACCTTTCCGCTATGTTTTTTTATCCCAGAGAGAGAAACAGGAACTCGGCTTTGAATGATGGCGTTATCATCTTCCCTCTCCTCTCTACACACCACAAATTTATATCTATCGCACTCTCCATCTTCTCTCTCGTCGATCTACAAGTTTATTATATTTGATACCTGAACCTTTTGCCATTTCCGTCCTTGACATGACTCTCATGATTATGTTATCGTTATAACCCCAATCTCATCTCACGTCTGTCTCTCTCTCTCCCTCGCTGTACTGTACATACAGGGAAATCATACGCCTGTGGGCATTTGATTCCCCAACCGGCATACAAGTTCTCTCGACAGCGCCCCCATCGAGTTGACTTTGGTGACCTTGGTGATTCCTGTGGTGAGTGACCGGAAGTCTCGCTAGACAGGGACATCAGCAGATACAAACTCAGATTCAACGCATTATTTTGTCTCATGGGAAACATGCCAACCTTTGGTGGGGAAGGCAACCACGTGGGATTCAAAGCCTTCAAATTTATGAAGTTACGGACTCTATGGAACCCCCAGGAGGGGGAGGGGGGAGGTGGTGGGGAGGGCCCGCCAATGGGAAACTTGGTCCGGCCCAAAATCCTAGACCCAGCTCCTTCTCAGTTGCCAGCCCATTTCTCCATCTCTCTACCTTCCTCCCTCTTCCATCTCTCTAGATTCGGTTCATAGAGAGGGTCGAGCTACGTCTAGACGAACCCGGCATGCCTTCATTGTCGAGGTGCTTCACGGAGCTTGTATTTATTCCCAAGCTTTCCTCCAGGTTTAGGGGGAGAATGGGTGAGCGGTTGACCTCAAGGAAGATGCCGCGACTCAAGCTGATGACGAGGCTTCACTTGACCCGCATCGACTCGTTGACCACCGGAACCCGGATAAAAAAGGATGCTCATTTAGATGTTGTGCGTCGTGTTTTGCCGGGATCTTCACCAAGGACGAAGCAAGCCGATGCGGATCTCTACTACCGTGGCTTTTTGTGGGCCCCGCGTTGGGTAGCTAGATACCAAGACCAAGTGCTCGTCTCCTCGGGAGGAGGTCATACAAAAATCCGAAGCAAATTAATGCCAAGAAGGCGACAAACATGCGAAGGTGGGTTGCTCCATTGACTGCTCCGGATTCGGAGGAAATTAATTTACTATTTCGGTCATCTCCTAACATCGAGAACTAGGTTGAGGGTGTCAAAAACTATCCCCTGTATGGGGTAATATCTATGAAATAATGATTTTACTATATAAAAAAATACGAATTATTGGTCTTAATAAAAATTCAATAACATAAATTAATTTGAAACCGAGGCGCTTTTTTTATTATGATAGAAGATGATTGTCTTAATACGCACCTAATTATCTTTATATAATTTATGCATGTAAATTTTTCGCCGTTGGATGTGGAAACACAGAGGAAGAGCATCGTTGGATTTAGTTCATCATTTAATAGCGAGGATAAATGGACCTTTTTTTCGGGGGGGGATATTCTGGAAATTATTCCGGAAAATATGTCAGAGTCAACAACTGTGATAGAGTTTGGGATGCAGGCCGTGCGTCTTCGTCGATTTGTACTTCGTTCGAGGGGTAGAAATATCTTAAGTGGGCTCCGTGGGATGAATCTGTTGCGATGATCCCGTCCCGATCTCGCCGCCATATCTTCTGTACTTGTCGGTGCGCACGCCGCTTGCTGCGTCATCATGGGGGCGACATTAATGCCATAGGATCTTAGATCTTATGAGGTGAGAGATAGGCGGAAGAAGGATGCTATCGTTATACGAAGAGACGACTTTGACTGTCTCAGCCACCCCCGCCCAACTCCCCCCCTCCCCCCCCCGCCACATGCCGTCGTCATTAATGCGGTACAAGTTTTAGTGCGAGCGATCTGGTGGGTTCTTGAATTCGGGATTCCATCCAGGGAGTCGTACCCCTGTGGCGTTTGGATCTGGTTTTTGAAATCCCGCCCGTCTTTGACTTGGTGGGATTCCTGAAATGGTTCCCAAACGAGATAGCCGGGGGACAGATCCTCCCGGAAACGGCGCGAGGAGTCATCTCGACGCTCTCTTTCTCTCTCTCACTAGAAAACGATGGGAGGAGAGTGTTGGGTCGAGGGGTTTGAAGTACAAAGCCTCGCGGATAGACGGACGGCGGGGTAGAGAGGGAGAGAGGGAGAGAGGGAGAGAGGGTGAGAGAGGGAGGGAGGGAGGGAGGGAGAGAGAGAGAGAGAGCGGTAAACTCCGAAGTTACCTAAACGGCTCTCTGGTGTACACGCTCATCTTAATGATGAAAGGGATGGATGAGAGAGAGAGAGAGAGAGAGGCTAGACCAGGGGAGCGAGTGGAGGCGGACTCGCGGAGCTACCCCTACTTCTGATCCCCCCCCCGATTTTCGGAGGCACATGACTGTTCCATGTTGCACCGTCGGTGGCTCTACCTCGCCCCACGGCCTGCGAGTTGCTACGGGTGTCGAGAGGAGAGAAAAAGAGGTACAGATGTGAGTTACGGAGGAGAGGAGGTGGGCCTCTCTCTCTCTCTCTCTCCGTTCCGTCTTCCTCTCTCCGGCAGTCAGTATGGATGAATAAAAATAAGTGGCCCGGGGGGCGCACAGGTCAGCCCCGTGGAGATGTGGAACCTCAGCTGACGAGAGAGGAGGCCTGACACGTGGAATCGCGGCCCGGTGTCTACGTACTCCGAGCCGCCATCGACGCACTTTCCGAAGCCAGCCAGGTTCAGAAAGATGGCTTTCTCCCCAGTTCGAACTGCTTTACTATACAATCCTGGATTTCCTCGGTCAAAATCGCTTTGGGGACGACCGCCCTTCCCCCTAACTCCCAAGAGGGAATCGTTCAGTTCATTCCACGGCTTAAGGTTAAGGTTAAGATTAAGCTCAAGCTTCCCGGAATCGAGCCAAACGGCGGCCCCAAAACGGGATCGGTGGTCCCCAGGCGGAGCAAGTGGTGGCTGGTCAATTTTGGACCAGCCTCCAGGCTGGACCTGGCCGACCAGACTGCAAGCTGGGAAGGGGCGGGAAGGAGGCTATCGGAGTAGACGGTGGGGGCGAACCACTGCAGCTGCAACAGTGGCAGCAGAGAGATAAGTGCGACATCCATCAATCGAGCCGTCATGGCATCTCAACGGCGGCGGGATCACGATCAGCGGCCGTCGATGGGGGCTCCTCACATGCGGTGCCCGGGAGGATGGCCAGCCCATAAATGAGGACCAGCTCTATCTCCGGCGTTCCAGAGAGCTGTCAGAAGGATGGGCTGTGAACGGAGCTCGGGGAGGAGGAGGAGGGGGCCCGCCCACCGCCGTTCACCGCCGGGGAGGAGCTCTCGGCGGCCCCGGTAAAAAACCAGGTGGGTGGTGTCAACTCGAGAGGTCCCGTCAATCAGAGAGTCAGGGCCGGGCACTGGGTCATCGGTGGGAGGGCGTTTGCGGGCGGAATAACGGAGGGGACGATGAAAGCGCAGTAGCGGAGATCTCGATTTATTTAGTAATTTATGCAGTTAATGGGTTTTGGGACGGGTCGTCGTCTCGAGGGCAGGGAGGAACTGGTGATGGGTCCAAGTTGGCTGATTAGGGTTTTTGTCCGGAAGCCTCTCTCTCGCTCGCTCTCGCTCTCCCTATATCGACAGCGGGGGGGGGGGGGGGGGGGACCCGTTTTGTTTGAGATGCCTTCTTTCCCTCATCTTGGCTTTCGATACCACGTCTGTGGCGCGACACATCGAGGTGCTCCCACTCTTCCCCACTTTCTTCTGCCCGCGTTAATCCACATCACTACTGGCTCTCTCTCTCTCTCTAAGATCTCCAATTTCCTTCCCGTCTAAACTCTCGGCCTGCCTGGAACAGCGTGGATGGAAAGAGAGAGAGAGGTGGTGAGAGACGTAAACAAGGATCCTCGTCCACGTCATGCACACTAAACCTACGTTTTAAGCAAGAGCAACGCGGATAGATACTACAGAGAAAAGACAGATGAGAGAGAGGGCGATCGAGGGGGAGAGAATAGACCGGGAGCAAGAACTGCAGTGATAAGTTAACGGGAACAGAGAGGGATATAGGTCTGGAACAAAGAAGGGAGAGAAAATCTAGATGGTGCTCCGGAGGGCGAGAGAGACAGAGAGAAACATAAAAAAACTTGGGAAGTAGAGAGATAGAGAGAGAGAAAGAGAGGAGGGGTGGGGGAATTATGGTATGGCAGTGCCCGGAGGTCTCCCCTTCCTGTACTTGCCGTATCTACTAAGTCAGGGAACCGTCTGTTCTTGCCGAAAAAGCATGAGCTTCTAAGAAAAGCGGAGGAGAAAACATAGGGGAGGTGAAGAGCTGAAGCTTCTCTCAGCAGAGAGAACCTCCGCCGCAGCATCAGCCACCACCTGTGTCCACACTGTTGCACCGTAGTCCCCCAGGTATGCGATTCTAGACCAGAACCTACCTCTTTTCATGGTCCACAGGCCCCCTTTCCCCCCCACCTCTTCTCCTTTTCTCTCTTCTCTGGCTGGGAAAAGAGTATCTCAGTCCCAACCGCAACCCTCCCCGCCGCATCGACGAAGATTTTCCCATGGGATATCTCTTATGTTACCAGGTGAAAGGAGACCGTACCACGGGATATGACGGCTAAATGATGCGATCGTCTGATCGACTGGAGAACGACGGCTGTGGGAGAGAGGAGCAGCTAGGGTTTCCGCGCTCTATCTCAGCTGCATAAGTGGGATTGAGAAGGAGGTGGAGACCAAGGTCAAACACAAGGGCATCTTTCACCTCTCTCGATCGAAACCCGAAACTCCTAATCCAAAGGATCAGAGGATGGAGTAGATCAGACAGAAGATCTTCGGCAAGAAGAAGCCGACATCGAGTGGGCGTAGGCGTGCGATCCACGCAGGCAGAAGTTCTTGAGGCCATGATTCTGAGACAAAGAAGATAACAACGAAGGGCTGAGGCTTGTTGATTTCCCCCTGCCGTCGCACTTTCTACACAATTATTTCCGCGACCGAAATAAAAGAAGAGCTGGCGAACCGGTGGTGGGCCGGTAATGTGGCCCTCGGCGGCGGCGGCAGTGGCGGAGGCGGTGGTATCGGCGTTGACCCCGCCTCCTCTTCCCCCGCCGGGGTCACCGCCTTGCACCTCCGCAATCCCAACGACGACGATCTCCATCACCTCCGCAACCCCAACCCCGCCAGCACCAACAGTAGCGGAAGCAACCACAACCCCAACGACGACGACGGAGACGCTGTTGACCACCCCGCTGGCAGCGGCGGTCAAGATTCCGCGGAAGCCGGTGGAGGGGGAGGCCGTGGGGGATCCGGCGCCACCCCAGGTCGCCGCCCCCGCGGGCGCCCTCCGGGGTCCAAGAACAAGCCGAAGCCGCCGGTCATCATTACCAGGGAGAGCCCCAACGCGCTCCGCTCCCACGTGCTGGAAATCAGCAGCGGCACCGACATTGTGGACGCCATCTCGACTTTCGTCCGCCGCCGGCAACGCGGCGTCTGCGTGCTGAGCGGCAACGGAGTGGTGGCGAACGTTACACTGCGTCAGCCGGCGGCTCCTGCTGGGGCGGTGGTGCCCTTGCACGGGCGATTCGAGATCCTCTCTCTCTCGGGGGCTTTTCTGCCCTCGCCGTCGCCGCCGGGGGCGACGGGGCTGACGGTGTACCTCGCCGGAGGGCAGGGACAGGTGGTGGGAGGGAGCGTGGTGGGGGCTCTCATGGCGGCAGGGCCCGTGATGGTGATCGCCGCAACATTTGGTAACGTCACCTATGAGCGGCTACCCATCGAGGAGGATGGTCCCGCTGAGTCCGCCGGCGGCGGCGGTTGCTCGGAGGGAATGCTGTTGGGGCAAGGCGGTGCTGGTGTGAGCCCGGGAGGTGGTGGCGGGGGCGGTGGGTCTCCTCATCACGGTGGTGCAAGCCTGGGAGAATCGGGGGGAATGCCTATCTACAACTTGCCTCCCAACCTGATGGCTAATGCTCAGCTGCCTCACGACGTGTTCGGAGCTTGGGTTTCTCATCAGCCTCACCGTCCTCCGCCCTCCTACTGATAAGGCACCTCTCCCCCCCTCTCTCTCTCTCTCTCGATTTACTCTTCTTCATGCTTGTGCTTTCGTCAATTTATTTAAAGAGTTTGCTGATCTTCATGTCATTGCATGTCCCGTTCGATCTCCCTTTCTTTTTGTAGCACACATTTTGATGATTAGTATTAGACCCTTTAATTTAGTATAGTTTCCCTTCTCTCCATTTCCGCTCTGCTCTCTCTCGCTCTCGCTCTTGCTCTCTCTGTATAGTATCGCCTATACTAATAGCTCCTACTAGATTTCTTCACGATCACTTTTGGATGGGTTACTGAGGAATGATTTCCATCACTGGTGAAGGAAAAGGGGTGACGGGTAGAAAGCCATTAACCCAAGCTGCTTCTTTTTTCCTGTCAAGAAACTTAGTTTATCGTCAGATTATCCTGCTTGCAACTGAATACAAGAGCAGAAGGTCGATTCATGATGCAGAAAATTGAGTCGAATTGCTTCTCGTCACCGATCCATGGCTATCGCGCCGGCAATTGGTTGCTGGCTTCAGATGAGGAGGGAGAGAGGGTCCAATGGGGCTCTACTCACGGTATCGCTGCGATGGGGGACAGAGCTCGAGGATAACTGACGAGGTCCACCCACCAACCTACTTCATCTGATTTGACGTCTTGGGAGCCTCTGCATGACTTCTCTCTCACCTCGGGAAGGATGCTGTGGCAGCTTTCTTTTTCAGAGAGAGAGAGAGAGAGAGAGAGAGAGATAGGGTTTCTGAAAAGGGTTTGAACCCAGGTTTGGTTAGGGGTTGTAGTTTTGGTAAGGGTTTGTGCTCGGCGAGGGGAGCAAGAAGCATCCTTCTGTCATTCCTTAGACCCGCGACACTGTCAGGCTGATGCCATTTGCGGCCAGTGCGGCAGTCGGTGCATTGAAGGTCCTCTTCGGGTGGCAGCAAGATAGGAGTTTGCGGCGGGGTCCTCCGGTGGGCGGCGCAGGCTTTCACATCACCTGGTAAATTATTTAGATCCCCCCTTCCAAAAGGGATTGATTACTGATGATGGGATGAAGTTGGCCTCTTTCTTCTCGCCGATGATTCCTTCGAGCAACCGACCTCCTCTTTTTTCTTGTCTATCCTTCCCCCGTCACGTTACGATTCTCTTTCTCTGGCTCATCGACGAGCGCCCCATTCCTTCCTTCCTCAGATGAAGATAATGTTTGCCCTTGTGACCATACTCCTCATTTACGCGCTTCCTGTAATCTTACCCCTCGTTATTCCGATGGTATAGTATTCTGACCCTCTGGTGAACAAATTATTAAGAGCATGGCAGCATACCTCATTGGGAGTAGGATGGATAGCTCGGGGGAAAAAATATTGTTGAAGTGCCAGCACCGCCAGACCTCGACGTATGTAGCTCCACGGGGATGACTTGACAGCTTAGTAACGCCAAGATCCACTTATCTACCTTGTTATCCAGTTTTCTAAAGCCTGGTTATCTTTTCTTCACTTCATCTTGCTCCCGATTTTATGAGAACTACAGCACACCCCCACCCACTGGTCTAAAAGGTCTCCTCTCAATCTCTGATCCGTGTCCGTGAGGAGAGGAAGAAGAGCGCGTCGAAGGGACACCAGAAGAAGGGTGTGGTCAAGGGCTATGGGGTTGGCAGAGGCTTTCGCCCGAGTCACCATTGAACACGCCAGGGCTTCATACGGCAGTATTGGAGCTATCTTCTACCTCGTTTGTGGCGCAATCATCTTAAGCACCTCATTCATCCCATATTCTCCGCTGTTATTTTAGGATGACCCGATTCATATCTACCCCCAACGACAAGCTGAAGGTGTTCCGAGCTCTACATGAACGCTGAAGATTGGAAAGACGTCAGGTTAGTCGCCATGCGTATCACAAGCATGCTGACAGGCTAAGTTCGATCCAAAGCTACCACTGGACTGTGTCCGACTTGAAGGCTATTGCTTGCATTTACTGTTGGCATCAATTGCCTGATGCAGGAGTCTCTGCCTTCTTTACCGACTCCATTACGAAATGGGCATCGAACAATAGTTGACCAGATGGCTTTTTCTCGACATTTCTGTCTGGTCAAAGATAAACTGGAACTATTCTTGAACAGGATGGGTCCTCCGTCACAATCCTTTGATCTCTAAGGTCTCGAGTTCATGCGCTTTGGTCGCGCACCCCACATTTGCCCTTCATGTTGACAAAACATAGAGATAGACGCGTGGAATCATCTATCACGAAGAGGGTGAGAGGGGTCACGGGGCCCTTTCTCCTACGGATTCTGCACGTCGCAGCCGAAGAAAGCTTAATGGCCGTGTGCATAATAAGGTGCTCGAAGGTGGAAGCTATTTCAACCATGTTCTTCTACTATGATAGCAAATCCCGGCTCGGTCGCTTTCTCTTCGTCTAGTTTAGGTAGGATCTTCCATCGGAAGGTGTGACGCTCACTGTATTTCTTTCCCTTTTCCGTCGAGATAGGATCGAGGTAGCTGCAGAGGCGTTCGCTCGGTCCCCCCGCCGGCCGCACGACTAAAATCAAGTTCTGGGGGGGCTCCGCCAACGTCGGAGGGAATCCAAAACCCTGAAGTCTTTCTTGGTTCATATGGCCAGAGATGCGTCACGCGTCAAGCACTGCCTCTCCGAACGAGGGTTGTCCGATTTAAGCCCACTGGAAATTCATCAAGCCCCTCACTTCTTTCCGCCACGTTGGGGGGGTGGGGGCGGGCGAGTAGGCATTCGAACGTGAGACGCGACCCGGGAAGGAAGGTTCTTTTCTTTGCTATAAAAGGGCGCCGGTCTTCGTCAGACCATCCACGGACGGACGAGTCTCTGGATTCTCCATGGTTTCCGTTCAGCAAGCATTCACATATATGCATGCACGCACGCATGCATGCATGAAACCCATCTGGCCTTCGTCCGGCGCGTTTTCCTGCGCTCCTCCGATGTGCTCGGCTAGTTCTCCATGGTCTCACCCGCCCTTCGAACTGACCGCATGAAGCGCGTATTCCCCGAGTGTCTATCGAACCAGGCGCAGTACTTTCCATGTACATAAAAAAAAAAAAATCTTCTTCGGTGAGATCCTCGCGGATTCAGTTGCCGAGCATAGAAAGACCGCCGATGGGGTATCTCAGTGAGGAAGACGGCTCTCAACTGTTAACTGATATAATAATAGTTTAGACAAGAACACCAACACGGCTGTCATGGCTTTGAAAATCCCTCGACGTACCCTACTCATTGATGGCCCTTTTATTTGCGCGTACGGCGATCATGCCTAGAGAGAGAGAGAGAGAGTTACTGATGGCTCCAGGCAACCTGACGCTGATCTCAGGAAGCCCAGAAAGAAACAAAAAAGAGCGGCTCTTCTTTGGACTTAAAAGGGCTTTTATTTATTTATTATACTACTATATCGAAAATTAAAAGGAACTTATGATAACAGAGAAAGCCCGAGGATAAGCCCAGAAAAATAGATGTGGTTCAGAGTTAGAGACTCCGGATCTCCTCTTCGATGAACAGAAGCTGCACCGAACCATTTCAGAATCCTCACCTCGTTCGTCACCGCCCCGCCGGTATCCCCAGCATCGGCTGGGCGGGACATAGTGAGAGAGGCACCATAGATTGCAGCCAAAGCTGCCCCTTTCCGTCCCCCCACAGGAAGATAGGTCGTGATAGAGAGAGAGAGAGAGTAGCCTTGATCTATGACGAACATCGCAGCTATCGAAACGCATACACCAACACCCAGTGGAGAAATGTACGCAGAGATCATCACAAGGGCACACGCATAGAAGCTTCCCCGCATAGATACAAGCAGACACAGAAACATACATATAATCAAAACTTAAGCAATGACAAATTCCCATTTACAGAAATCAATCCTAACCTAGACTGTTCTTCACTAGAAGATAGAAACCCCCCCCCCCCCTCTACTTGGTCAACTTTTCTGGGTAAAAAAAATTAAAAATGGCATTTTTTCTGTGCACCTAGGACAAGGGAACTTGACAATTCTCTCCCCCAGGGGTTTCCATTTCGGGTAGAAAAAAGATCATCAGTCCAGAAGCTTAGGTAGGGCTTTCAGCAGCCCACCATTTTTAGAAATTCATGGATCCACAGTAAATTCACAAACGCATCAGATATACCTGATACGCCCAAAACCTAATAGCAGAAGATTTCCAAGTATGCACAATGGATCAATAAATCGACTTATAAAATCATTTAATGGTGCTTTCCACTACTCATTTGGGGAGATTTTCACGTCATAATCAAGAAGAAAAATTGGCCCAAGTTAGTAACCTCAGCGATTTGCTTAGTCGGAATGATCTAGAACAATCCCCACCTGATCTTGGCACCCTTTTCGTTTCCTCCTAAAGAACCACGGCCAGTCCCAGTCTCTGTCTAAAAGAGTTGGCCATATGTTTTGTTCGATCCACCAGAGTTCCAAGTGCATATGAAACACCCCATCTATCATTCCTTCCCTATTAACCACCCTTTTCTATCTTGATCCCGAGTAATATTTCTTCCCATCCCCCCTGCACATCATATCCACCACAGGCAAGAGAACATGCATATGATGTTGCTCATTTATTTTATTTTTGGAGAATCCAACTTGTTTAAATGAATTGAATCTAGAGTCTGCGTGTGTGGAGGAAGAGATGCCAAACTGGCAGGGATATGAGTTCCTCTAAGCTAATTGTTATTGAAAAATTGAGTCAGTGGAGATCAAATCGGTATGTATGAGGGTTCTATAATTGTCCAAAAAAAAAAAAAAAAAAAGGCAATTAAAAAGGATGTCCATTTCTACCATAGATTTAACTTTCTCAAGTTTGGTGAATGAAAGATAATTCAAGCATGTCCCCTAACCCGCAGGTCAACTTCCTGGATGATTATTCCGCTTGGGCCATACATGGATACTGGGGCTCCTATAGGTCAACTCGGCGATGTACTGCTAACCTACAGCATTGGGCTCCCATTGTATCCGCTTCAGTCTCCTAGACATTGTTTCATCTACAGTTGTCATACACCATGACAAGTAAAGCACAATGATTTACAAAGAACTGAAACAGAACGCCTGGACAGGCTAAAAGAAAAAATATTTATGCAAAATAAGAGGAAAGGAGACGGCCAAGAAATAAAATGGGGGATAGACAAAGAAAATACGAGCTGAGGAGGAAAAAAGAATAAACAACAGAAAGGTGCTGAAAGACGACCGGGTGCTGATCGGCGAAGAATGATATATAGCTTGAATTCTTGAATCACACAACGCTAATGGAAGATAAACAGAAAATTTTTGACATGTACAGCGTACACTAATTTTGAAATGTAAATTGACTTTGTTACAAGTCCAACTGCACATATACATACATACATTTTGATGGCCTCATCAGCTGACATCAACACGAGGACATGGGACGGAAGCTTATACCACCCTGGTGTATAATAAAACAAATTCCTCGGAATAACTGTCATGGTGCCAATCAGCCAGAGTTAAACCAAGGCGCAATATAATCATGGAAAGAACTTTTCTACTATACTGAATATGGATTAGTTTATATATACAGTCACGTTTTAGAGAAACATGTGAATATTTCACCTGGTATGAAGGTCAAAACCGGTACAGCACATAGCCAGCTCAATCAAATCACCTACTCTGACTGTATTTTCATCTATCAATCAACCACAAAGCTGTTTTAGTGTCAACCTCAAACAAGAAATTGACAACTTTATGCTTAGCTCATTGATAATGCAATTGCCATTTGATATGTATATTTTTCTAATGAGTAAGAACAGGCAACTAGCGTTAAGAATGGTCATTCCTATATAAACATGTTACTAATCTCAATTGTTATAATTTTGAACCCACTTCATGCGCCAATGCAATTTTATTTCCTATAATAGAGTATCGTTGATGACAGAACCCAATGACGCCCATGGGATGACGAAAATGAAAGCGTGAGAATAAAAGACTACAATTTCCAAGTGTTTAGTCTCCTCAAACAGTAATCATCACAGCAGGTGTAGACACACATTACCAGAAAATTAGCAGCAAAATCAGCACTTGGATCAAGAAACTAGCTCAGGATATCCTCATTACCGACTTGTGCTGCCAGCAATAAAGATAAACTACATTAAACCATTATGTTTATGATATGTGTAAGGCAGAGAGAAGTCACCATCTATGGTGATTATCTCTTCCACAGAAAAGGTTACAAATAAACTAGAAAAGATAATACTAAAAAGAAAAAGAGCAAATCATCTCAAAATATAAGCAACACGAAGGAACAAATTTAATGATTAATGGCCTTCTTTGCCCGTAGAGATTCAAGGGCCTTTTTCCGCAACTCAATCTCAAGCTTCTTCTGATCAGTCTCCCTTTCCTCTGTGTCGGTTGTGATTGAAACCTTCAAACCAGCTTCTTCGTCAGACTCTTCAGCCGCACTATAGTTTCTCTCTTTGTCTGGGTGGGATCCCACAGTGTGAACGTCCTTCGACATCTTTTGTGCCCGTCGTTCCTCCCTTTTTCTATGCCTCTCTTCACGCCTCCGACGTTTCTCCTCCTTGCGCAACCTTCTCTCCTCCCTCTTTCTTCTTTTCAATTCTTTCCTACGCTCTGTCGCTGAATCATAATCCGATTCATCTTCTAGAGATGTTTCTTTCTGGTCTAACTTTTTGGGCCTTCTCTCAGTCTTCTGCGCTCTATTTTTATCTTCCGAGTCTGTATCCACGGGACAAATTCGATCATTCTTATCTAGCTTCGCTGATTTCTCTGCATAACTTGCATTTTCTTCCACGCGAGGCCTTTTCCTATCATCATTACGTAAAGCTTCGTCCAAGTGCGAATTCTTTGCGAAGTCCTGCTCTTTTGTTGGTCTTCTGCCAGGGGAGGAATAATCTCTAGCAACCTTCTTACTAGAAGATCTCTCCTGGCCAATTAGATTAGGCGATAAGTTACCATCCATCTTCCCAGGACCATACTCGACCTCTTCATCTAAAAGAGATATTTCCTCCGTGAACCCTTCTGGAGGATCTGTGGCACTGCAAAGAGAAACCTAGTTAACAATGGTCACATAAAATTTATGCTCTAGTGAAAATACATAAACTATGGCCAACTAAGTTATCAGTTTTGAAAACTACATCAACGCTGCATCATCCCATTCAAAAAGGGCGGGTTTGACAACAGGTAGAACAATCAATCACAACCAGACAATCAATCAATGAAACGGAGGGTAAACAAAACATGCACCAATGTGTCCCCAAAAATGGAGAAAGACATTTCTTTCGAGGATGGGAGAGAGGTGAGAAAAAGAACCTCTTCTGTTCGTGATGCTCCATTATTTTCAAGTCAACATTATGCCTATCATACACAGAATCCTCGACTGCTAATTCCCCAGGAGAAGATTCTTCAGAATCATAGCTTCTTGAGAGTTTCCAACTAGTTCCAGAGGGTGAACGCTGACTTTTCTTGCTCAAAGAACTAATTTTCTGAACTGAAGTTTCCCTGTAGTTGATATGAAAAAATATTTACAGTTATGATTCACTTTAACATATTTAACGATTTTAGAGTTTAACGAAATTTTCCGGAGAAAAAACCTCGCATCAGAGCTTCCTCCTCTTGATTCAGGGCTATCATGACTAGCTATTAATCCCCTACCTTGCCTGTCAGGACTCTTTGATGAACTGTGAAACATTTGAAGAAAACTAATTAACATTTTCATGGCAGCAAAGCGCTGGCTGTATTTTAACAACGGATCAGACTACCACCCACACCTGTTTCCACTTGTATTCATCTGTTGCCCACGAGGAGGGGAGCCCGAATTTTTTCCATGGGTTTCAGTTGGTGCAGACTTAATATCTTGTTTTACTGATGGAGAGTCTAGTCTACCACGTCGCAAATCAATTTTTTTACTTTCTTCTTTTTCAATAGAACGGTTAGGTGACCTCTTCAAAATGGTTCTGTAAGAAATGTAAATAAATATATAATGGCACACTTCCTCCAATCATGGCAATTACAATACCATTGCAGATATGAATAAAATCAGCAGATCTTAAGGATTGGCCAAGTTCAGAGGGAATTTGGATCCTGTAACGATATATTTTGTTTGATAATAAATCAGAAACTGAGACAAGGATGGCCTCATCCAAGTATGATTTCGAACATGTTTCATGCATTAAAAAATTGATATGTTATAATATATATTCTATACCACATGATTACACAGAACATAACCGACATTAGTTTGATCTTCATGCCTTTTCCTCGTAATTATCGCTTTCAACCTAATCGTCAGTCACATATAAAATTCGGAACAATTAAGACGCCACTTGTCAGGAATGCAAAATGGGATTAGCCATATAGGAACCAAAATTGGTGCCACAGCTAAACAACAACATAACAACCACATAAAAATTCTTTAAAGCACTAAACACAAAAAAAATCTAGAAGACAATGAAATCTACAAGCTAGAAGTATCCGTGACAGGCCTAATCATCCTCATACCTTCTGACCTCCACCCCAGGACGATTACTCTGTTCCCTGCTCAAACTGCTGTGACTCTGAGATGAACTCCGACTTTGGTTGGTATTATGGCTCCTGCATGAATGCCACTGAATCACATGTTAAAAGCAAAAAAGAAAACAAGAACCACTCATTAAATAAATGATAAAATAAGACTCAAGAATAGAGACCTATTCATTTGTCGTGGGGAACTTTGTGAGTCAGCAGCACGCTGCCTTGGTGAATGTCTCAATGATATCCTGTGGTGTTTTGGTGACCTAGGCTGTGGAGATCTCTTTAAAGGAGATGGTGAATTGTGTTTCATTGGTGATAAAGATATCCGTCTAGAAGGTGATTTGTGATTTGCTGGAGAAGGTGACCTCCGACGGAGTTTTACAGGTGACCTACGACGTATAGGAGATTTCCTCCATGAAGGTGATGGAGATCGATGATGTCGACGAGAAGGTGATTGCCTATGAGAACGTGGTGGTGACCGACGACGTGGAGGTGACCGAGACCGGCGACGTATAGGTGATGGCCGACGAAGGCGAGGGGATGGAGATCGCCGACGCACTCGGACGGGAGACCTACGGCGAAAAGGAGATGGGGATCTATGATGCAAGCGAGGTGAAGATCTTCGCCTTGCATAAGGTGATCTCCGCCTTGAAGCAGGAACCTGAGGTGAACGATGCCGATGAGGTGAAACAGAATATCTTGGCAGAGATCGGCGCCTCCTGTCCTGAGAATGCAAATGCCTTGGAGGACTAGTTGATAGAGATGCGTCCCTTGACTTGCGTCCATCACTGAAAAAGTAAGAGCTTAAGATTGCACGGATAAAGTGATACAACAATCTTCTTGTTTCTTGCCAAAAACATAAAAATCAAATCTCAACAAGTCGAAATCGTGTGAATGTTAATTATGTAGTGGAAATTATGCAATAATTTTCTAGGAAAAACGCAATAATACTGTTACTAAGGCATTAACCTTTGAAGAACTTATGATTAACAGACCACAGATGTCACAGATGACCAGGTGCTACACCAATATTGTCGCAAAGGCAGTGAGAAGGATGACAAGTCAGCAATGGACTACCTTTTCTATAGCTATAATTAACAAATATAAACACGCACAAAGTCTTATCTATATACATATATAGAGAGAGTAAAGGACCGGCTAAAGCACTTATAGCAAAAGTCGCTGATAACGACCATCAATGGGGCTCTGACAATACACCATCTTCTGAGCCACTTGGAATAGACAGAAATAAACACCCAGCATCCAACCAAGAAACTTCACCCCAAATAGCCTTCACTAAGACAAAAAATGGGAACATTGACACTCTCATGTAAAACAGTGACATAAAACCACATAACTAAACAAAGAGAAGCACAACTATGACTCATCAGAGACAATGGTAATGCACCATCGAAGCAGTGTGATTAATGAAAACTAGACTGATATTGGCAAGAACCAAGCATTGACACTCCGATTAATAGCAGCCTGTAGGTATTATAAGGGTTATTTTGGTCACCATTGAAGAATAAATCAGCACATTGGTTTTGCAAGATGCCACACAACATCCAAAAGCATCAGAAAAAGATATTTCACACAATTCACCACGACCAGTGGAATAAAGAAACTAAATTAAATTAAAATAAAATGTATAAGTGTAATAATAATATACTCTGAATAGCTCCTGGAGCGGGAAAATGATCTACTGCGTGACTTAGTAACTGCATGAGAGCCCCTGTAAGATGTACCCAATCAAGCGTCAACTTCGGTATTTATAAATAAAAGGGCACAAAAGTTGAGTTTAAAAAAACGCCCTTACTTTTGAGGGAATGGAGACTTTCCATCTGAATGATAAGAAGGGGAACGCTGCCTGATAAAAAAATCAATTTGGTTAAGACGTTACTAGGGGAAAAACAGAGACAAATACATTATGAACATGAAATGTTTTCCCTTTATGTTTAAGAAAAAAACAGGCAATGGGACAGATCCACCAACTTCCAATCTATTTTTCCTTCTTTATTGTAAAATTATTTTCACTTTTAATCTTCATATCCAACAACTCCTAGAAATCATATTTTATGACATTGTTTCAAAAAAAAATGTTCCACAGAAAAGATCTTGAGATAGTGAATCAACATGTAATGTTGCATAGCCATACAAATATAATGAACATATTCAGATTTTTTTTCCCACCTTATGGAAAGCATCTCCCTAACCCCATGCGTATGATGTTTGGGATGACCTTTGAAAATGTTTATGGTAAAACTTATGAGACGCTTTTTCGTCTTTGTGCTAATATTTTATTTTCGGAATGCACTGTTTACCGGGGGTCCAAATCTGCGACCTAAGGAACTACGCACATAATTCAGAGTCAGATTCTTCCAGCCAGATCCGAGAAATCCAATTACATCCCAAAGATAAAGTCTCCACAGAGACAGAAAACCTTCAAAAGAGAGGAATAGGCCCAAGTCAACCCCCCTCCCGGGACTTTGACCCTTTCCACATGCATCTTGTCATTTTCCCAAGAAAGTTAATAACACAGTTACCAGCATTCAGCCAAGCCAAAAATTAAAGGGCGGGCCGAAGCAATGAGCATCCTGGGTGGCCACATCGCATGATCAGTATCTTCACTTGCCTGGGTGGCCCCATCCTTATAACCCTTAAATAAATAACTGGTTCCTACCTCCATATCAGTGGCTATTTCTCTCTGCAGTCGGATGAACAGATAATGCATTCACGTGTATATAAGAAACACATGCAGATATAGATAACTAGAAACTAAGAAAGCAATGGATGTCCACCTGGGATCCCCACTAGGTCTGCTCGAGGAGGGAACAGCTTTGCACACTATGCAACTAACCAGGAAAGGATTCACAGCAGCATTACCATGTTCCCATCTCACAAGCAATTAGTTTCAACACATATATCCCCACAATGATAAGATACATGAAGCATAGATGCGGGAGAACCGTGTGAGGAAATGACGTTTTTATCTACATTTCAGCAAAACCATAAGTCTGAATCCAAAAGGTTTCCATTCCGAATAGGAGATGGCATTAATTTAGGGTGTTAAAAAAAATGGTTTCAGATATATGATAAAGACGCCCTTGTTTATTTCTAGATTCTTTTCCTGTTTATTTCCCTAGCACCCCAGAAGGGTGCCACATATATTATAAGCCCAAAAAATAGACCCTACAGGATTTCAAAGAACATTCAAATAAAAATAAACCAAAAGTTACTTTTAGGGTAGTTAGTCTCATCATCATGCTCGGCAGCGTGAGATGAATATTCTAAATTTTCACGGGGGTATATTCTGATCTCAGAGAATTTTGTTTTGGTTCTCGTCTGATGATTTGTCCGTTTCCATCATTCATCAATGTTTTATTCATTACCAACGATCCACGCATTATTGCACTATCGAACTGAACATCAGCATAACAAAAATATTTAACAAATACACTGTCCGTTATATGGTTTCTTTAGAAATAAACAGATAATGATTTTATTTCAAATTTAGAAGCAAATAAGAAACAAAAAAATGCCATGGAAAAAATTCAATGAATGACCTGCTCGTTCTCCTTGAGACACGTCTCCGGTCTGTTTCTCTCTCATCCTCAGGGTTAGCAGTAGAAGGCCTCCCCCCTGAATGCTTCAGAAGAGCAGTAGACGCAGCATCCATATGTCTTGTAATATCTGCCTCACCGTCCTACAGTAGTTCGAGGGAAAGAAGGACATGAAGCCAAACAATCGGAGAAGCAGGCTGAATGCCAGGAAAAAAAGCAAAAGCCAGTTAAAAATAGATTCTAATCATAGAATGCAACTCATGCTCAAATAAATAGCCTACCATTCCTTTCAGATTCATTTGAATGGCATCTTGTCCCTCTCTCTCCCTCCTCTTCTGAATTTCCTGAGTTATCCTCTCAGATTCCACCTACAAGAGCAAATAAATAAGTCATAGGAAAACCGTAACGCTGGAAGTACATAACCAACTGGTGATAATGACGTGAAACAGCAACACAAACCATCTTCTTCTTCATTTCCTCCTCCTTTTCATCCAGGAATTGCTGTGGGACACCACTAGCATTTTTCTGAGCGCTCAGTAAAAGAACCCAAAGCTCCTTCATAAATTTCCCCGTATTCTTCTCCATAAAACCGGTGAGCTGTATTTGAATCTGCTTACCATCCACTTCCTGAGACATTACATTCAGTAAAATCAGATAATGCGTACACATGAAAGGAACTTAGATTTCAATAAAAATAGGCAACGAACCTTTGCATCGAGGAGACCATAGACAAAATTAATAAGGACTTCATCTTCAAAACCCAGCAGTTCGGTTACCCTCTTTGCAATCCACGGCTTCATCACGTCCATCTTAACCTTCGTCATATCCACCTGAGAACGAAAAGAATGAGACAAACCGATCCCCGCGAGGAATGAAGAAAGAGCAGGCCGTCATCTCGTCAGTCCCACAAATCATCCCAATTTCACCGGAAAAGGCACAGCCCACCCCGTTCGAGTTCGCCACCATACGGCGAATTCGACAAACTCAATGTCGCATGAAACAAAAGAAGACGCCTGAAGATGATGGTCACTGACCAGGTGATCGAGCTCCTGCGCGAACTTCTGCGTCTTCAGGAGCTTCGCCTGCTTGTTGGAGAAGCGGGTGTCCTGATCGGCCGAGGTGCCCTATGCGTCGAAACAAAAAAAAATACAAAAAAAGAGATTCAGAACCCTAACACGTCCCTTCATGGGAGATCCCCCGCAATAATCGAAGACATGGAAGCCTTGGGAGGAGAGGGCATCCTACCCGGAAGAATCCCCCGGACATCGTTATCCACGGCTGCTGCCGCGTTCACAGACCGAAGCAACAAGCACAGGCACCCCGCGAGTTTCCACTTCTCCGACCCCCGAGGGTTTTCTTCCTCTCGGTGCTATCGTCTCCTCTCGTTCGAACTCCCTTTATACGCGACCCTCCCAGTGCCCAGTGGCCACATCAACACGAATAACCTGATTTTTCACAGAATTACGACAATACCACGCTTCTGCGTCGGTTTCCCTGCCACTTACGTGGCAGCCAATCTGGCGGTCCATCTCATCAGGTCACAGAGAGAGCCAGAGATCAGGCTTCAGACAAATCCCGGCTATTTTTGGCCGCAATTACATCTAGAAAGCTGATCGTAAGCTGAATAATCACGGCGTATTCATCAATCACGACACGATCACCACAAGATAATCAGAAAATAAAATAAAATCTAAACGAGGCAACAAAGCGCATGAAAGTTCGAGACCAAAAAAATTTGCCCATAAATATAACCCCTTTTTTTAAAAGAAAAAAAGAGCAGCAAGCTCAGTTCTCTTTCCTCATGGCAACCCATCTCTCTCTCTCTCTCTCTCTCTCTCTCAAGAGGCCATTTTCGCTGATCATCTTCTTCCTTGGGTGGGTCGGTGGGTCGATTGCTGGGAGGAGCTCAAATTCCATTGTCAGCGCAGAATTTATACACTGGATTCACCCTGAACATCTCCGTCTTCATCTTCGTCAAAGGATCAGCAGAAGCTGTACATCTCGTCTGCATCATCAGCCCAGGATCACTCTTCCTCCTTGACGAAACCATACATCTCCTGCTTGACGTCGTCGTCGTCGTCCTCCTCTTCCTCCTCCTTGTTGCAGCCGTCGTACTCCTCGTCATCGATCTCTGTCGGAGATCGCGCCCGGTGAATCCATCAATCCTGCAAAGGAACCTGACTGGAGAGCTCGGAGATGAATGCGGGCAGAGGGCATACCGGCGCTGAAGAGGGCGTCGTCCTCGTCGGTGTGAGCGGCCTCTGAAGAAGAGGTTGGCTGAATGAGCTCCACCCAGTTGGACTCGTCGTCTTCCCTGGTAAAGAGCCCGGTTCTCTCCACTGTCCAGTCTTCAACGCCGCTGATGGCGTCGACCGAGAGGGGGTCCGTCTGTCTGTTCTTCAGAAGGTGCCTTCAAGAAGAGCTTACTCACTCAGTCGGTTATTTATTCGGTCAACGTCTCTATCCTCATACAAGAAAAATAAGGATAAATTCCTTTTTTAGGAAAAAAAAGTTTTTTTTTTTTGGTGGTAACATAAATTGAGTGCAGACAATTCGGTGATCTCATGAACCACTGGCTTTGACTTGCAAAGGCTTTCCCTTACCGTTGGAATACAGGCTCATCTATGAGGTCAAACCATTAGTTTTGACTTGGGTGGAATAAGCTTCATATTAAAAAAACCATTGGAGAATATATATATATTGCGGTCGTATAGATGGATATAGTCAGCTCAGGTATGAGGTCAACGAAACCAAGAACTCCCCTTACCTTTGCTGCAATCTAAGGTTGTACCGGACATAAATGAGATCACTGAGTCTCTGATGCTCCAAATGGTTCTTTCTTTGGCTGTGCATCTGCTCGAAGGGGATGCGGCTTCGCTCGCATCCTCTCGCACTACACGTTTGGCTGAGGATTCTGATGGCCAGGCGAGCCAGGTTCGGGCAACCCCCGCCATATGTTGACCACCATTCGCCTGATGAATTGCCAAAAGGAGAGGCAAAGATCTAAAATAAGCAGAGCAATTGATTGAACTGCAAGCAGACTGCCCGGAAAATAGTAAAAATATATAATTTTTCTGGGAGAAGGGCGGAGGGAGGGTTCAGTCACCGGGGAGCAGGGTGTGCCTGGCCCTGATCGCCATCTTCCTCCCGAAATCCCCAGTCGCGTTCTTGTAGGCGGTCAGTTCCTTGTTGATTTTATCCTGAGATTTCATCTCGGGCACCAGCCTCTCGATGCAGTCCAGCACCCCCGTCATGATCTCGTTCGGGACCTCCCCTTTAATGCGGTAGAAGAACTGAGGGTTGAGGAAGAAGCCTGCAGCCTGGAGAGGGCGCGGCAGCTCCTTGTGCCACCTCCAGTCGATGATGTTCCAGTAGGGCATGTAATCCTTCTTCATCTTCAGCACCCTCCTCATCACCTCCTTCGCCCGGTGCAGACCCCTGTAAATGTAACCCATGGCAGGCCGTTTGATGCTGTCGACCATCCTCAAGACCTGCACCAGGGGGTCCGTCAGCTGAACCAGGGAGTCGACCGACGACCAGAACGTCGGGCTGCATATGAGCTCCGTCATGGCAGCCGCGGCCTCGTTCTTCGAGCACGAACTGTTCTTCCATTCTTCGGAGCCCACCATGCTCGACAGATTCTCCTTCAAACCCGCCATGGCTTTCAGGGTCATGAAGGTGGTGTCAGACGGGCTCCTCCCGGGCCGCACCAGCTCCTTCCCGTCGGTGAACCTCCTCGCCATGTTCAGAACCTCCGCATGGTTGTAGACGAACCGCGTGATCGATCTCGCGTGCTCCAAGATTATGCTTGCGGGTTCCAGCTTCACGATGTCCTCGAGCATGGCGTCAACGCATCGGGAAGCACAGGGCGTCCAGAACATGGACGGGAAGGTCTCGGTCAACCTCTTTCCGGCGAGGGCGTGGGTCTCCGTGTTGCTGGTAACGACCTGGAGCACGTTTCCCACACCCACTTCCTCGACGACGAGCTTGAGCAGCTCATACAGAGCATCTGCAGATGTAACCATCTGCGACGCATCCACCGATTTTAAGAACATTACCCCTTCTGGGCAGTAGACCATGAAGTTTATCAAGGTCTGGTCCGCCTCCGTCGTCCACTCGTCGGCCAGAATGGAGCACCCTGTTCGCGTCCAGGTCTCCTTGTAGAAATCTACAGTGGCCTTCATTTCCTCCACTGAATTCTTCAGTACCCACCCGCGGAGGTCGTGGTACGAAGGAGCCTTGAAGCTCGGGCCGGCGGCGGCAATGGCGTCGATCATCGGCTGGAAATGGGCGGAGTTCACAGCATCCAGTGGGACCTCCGCTTCGTAGAGGAACCGGCCGATGGCCAGGCACACTTGATCTCCGTCCACTGTTCCCCCCAGGTTAGCTCTTGCGAACCCATTTTCCTTCAATGGAGGAGACAGGTTCTTGGCCGCCCTCCTCCTCTTCCTCTCGTGGGTTCTGGCGACGACTTCCTCCTCCCTCTTCTCCAGTTGCACCGCCTCCGGCTCCACAGAAATCGGCATGGCCACCAGCTGGAGCCCCATCTCTGCTTCAGAATGGCCGTCAGCGGTGTCCGCCGGCTTCACAGGGTTGAGCTTCTTAACCTCCTCCGCTAACTTCTGCTTCTTCCTCCTCCTCATCACCACCCCGTCCAGGCTCTGCTGCATCGCTCGGCGCACCTCCATGCTGACCTTGGGGCAGCTCGAGGCGTTGCCCTTCTGGCAGGCGAGGTGCTCCTTGATGCGGTGGATTCCTCCCCCTGAGAACAGCTTGTGGCAGTACATGCACCTGAGATGGATCCTGTCTGCCCTCTTGATCATATGGCAGTGCTTCCACGCCGGGTCGTGCTTCTGCGAGCTCAGGGGAAGAATGATGTCCGGCCCAGGTGACGAAGCCATGTCGACCTGCAAAAACACAACCGACGAACGGTCACCACCCTGCAAGAAATCACAGCTGAGCTCCCCACGAAGCCCTCCAATGGCGGAATCTCTCGGATTCACCCTCTTCTCTTCTCCTCCGCGACAAGAACCAGGAATCAAACTCCCCCCCTTCCCGGTTGAATCGACGAAAACAGCGCATATATCAGAGAATTAGGTCAATGAAGCAAGCCACGACCGAGCATACTCAGACCTCCGGACAATGCCGAGCGGAAACAACAGCAAGAGAATTCAGAAGAACCCCATGTACGGACAATGCGTCGGAAACTAAACAAGCGACTGAGAGAAGCACGCCATGGAACTGCCCGCGGCTCCCCACAAGGGCACCGAGAAAGAAGGAAATCCGGTCGGAGGACGAAGAGGCCGGCCATGGAACAGGACGACCGTGCGCTCGTCGGGGGTTTTAAGAGGGAAGAAACCGGGAAATGGAGGAGGAAAAATGTTGGGTTTTTCTCACTCGGGGCCTGGCGGGCGAAGGCGGTCGCTCCCAATGTCCCCGCGGCGAGCCGCAGAGAACCAGAAGAGGGCGATCTGGAGCGGTCCGGCTTTGGGTCGGCGTATTATAGCCGGGAAGGAAGGGAATAGGGTTGTGACCGGGCGAGCCGGTCAGGCCGCCAGGGGGATAGGGGTAATTTCCGACCCGGTCGTTCCCTGGTTTTCCGGCTCTTGGGCTGTCGACCGCCCAGTTGGGCCCGTTGACCGGGAGAAAACCGGAGCTCCCGGTTGCTTTGGCGGCGGTTCGGATTCCGGCCGGCCGTCGCCCCGGGTCGGACCAGCCGGCGGCGGCCTGCGCTGCGCGGTCGATCTTCCTTCTCCTTCCCTTGAACCTGATCTTCCCCGCGGGATTTGGGTTTTCGTCTCCCGCCCTTTTGCGCGGCGGACGGAGAGGCGGCGAGGGCTCTTCCTTCTGCATCCCTCCGTGTGTTTTCCTGGGGGATTGGATCGCCTCAGCACAGATTGCCGGCGATCCCTGCGACTGTTCCTCCGGCTCCTGGTTAGGGTTTTTGATGCTCCAAAATGGTGGGTTTTTGGTTCGGTGATAGGGGTTGTGGACGCGGAAAAGTGTTATCAACGTGTTAGCTCAGGGTGCAGGTTGGATCTGGAAGGAACCGCCATCTGGATCAATCCTTCTGGTTATAAGGCGACTTCTGCATTTTTATTTATTTTGTTTTTATTTTGTAAATCGAGGGAGGTTTACGACGATTATAGGCTGAGGCTGTCAAAAGCCGATAGTTCTGCAGCGCTGTTTTGAATCGTTCATCCCTAAATTTTTGCTCGATTTAGGCAATTATTTGATGTACCGAGTGAGTGTGCACTGAGTGGAGTGCAAAAATCTGATGCAAATTTGGCGAATGTGTCGGGAATTTCGGTTGAATTCCATGACTATTTGTACCCAAAATGATCATCTCGAGAATGCTGATTGGCCCTAGACCATATCTACTCCCAAAGTAAGGATATGATCCTACTCGATAGAAGACCATAGCAAACTCCTTGTTGCGTTAGATGTCAGGCAGCTTTCTCATGCTCTTCAGGTATTTGGTTTTACTGTGTCCTTTTTCGGACCTCAGATTGAACAGGTTGAGGTTATTCCTCTGATTGAGAATCTTTAAGCTTCTAAGAACGATCCAGATTAGTAACTGATCTAAGAACGCCTAATCTTCCTTACGCAGACTCCTGCATTTTTATTTTTACATTTTTTTTCGATTCCCTATAGTTTCTCATGCATGTCAGTGATCCGTATGCATATGCCTGTTTATGTATAGAGCCCTCGATTTCAGAATGGTGTTATTCTGGTTTCATTTTGCAGTGGCCATTATCCTTCTACAGCAATGTTCCTGTTCCACATATAAGTAGAGATTACACATCTGAGCCATGGCACTCTGACACATTGGGATCTCCATTCACAGTTCATATGATTTTGACTACTTGGAAAGCGGGAAGAGTCCTAAGATTTTTTATTTTTTTTGGGGTACATATTTACTGCTGACCAATTCGGCCCTCTTAAACGCTTTTGCTTATGAATTTTTCTCATTTTAGGAGTGTCCCTGGTCTTATTGGCGCACACAGATCTTGCACCTTACCGTAGCAAATAATGTATTCTTTTGAAATTAAATTGGTTCAGACTGGTCTTAGTCTCTACTGTTCTATCAGTTCCTCGTAAAGGCCCTGTGATTTTTCATCAGACACAGCTAATTTAGAACGAAGACCCTTCGTGTTTCCTTTGAGAGCCAGGTTCCAGTTGGTGGTGCAAAGCCTCGGACATCGTCAATCAATAGACTTGAAATTATATTAATTATCTCTTTTTGAGGTATGAGTCGATGAAAATGATTTATTGCTTGTTTCAATGTAGATTGCGGGATGTCCATTGCCGGATCCCAATATATCTGCTTCTCCTGTGTTCATGGCTCCAAGGATGGCTTTCACTATGACCCACGTTGTTAAATGCCATGAATGCCAGCTGTTGCTTCCTTCTGTTGCCATCTGGTACGGGCTCTAGCAACTCTCTAGTATAAAAAGTCACATGCTAGACCAGTGGATGTCAGATCACGGAATCCGTTAAGAAGCTTCTGGTTGTGGTGCTGAGGTTATGATGAAACAGTATGAACTGAAGTTATCCACAGACCCTCCGAGTGGAACATTAGAAGCACATTAATGAAGCTAGCCTAGCACAAGATCAAGCAATATTTTCCCTGGTTGACTAAAATTTACCTTGCTTAGATGTAGATTCCTGCAATTACCTTTGGGGGATCTGGATTATTTATTTTATCTGGGTTCATAAGTTAGTTCCCCATGAGATCTAAATGCTCAACTTTAACCTTAGTTTTTTCACTTAGATCATCAGATTCTGTCAGAGAAATCTTCCTCTTTTCCACTCCTTTCTCTTCTATCCTCCTTTGTCATGGGCGGTCTGGAATCCTGGCTCATTCGGTTTCCTTCCTTTGTGCTTCCCAACTCAGAAGCCCAGAAAGTCTCCTATCTGTGGTTGAATTCTTTCGAAGACATTCCCCCGGTGGACCTGAAACTGATTTTCCAAGCTTTCCTCTGAGCTTCATCTATGATCCCCAGGTATGTTTTCATATTCTTTGAGACTGCTTCAATGAAATCTGTGGGCAGACTGATGGCCTTTGACTTTGGCAGAGAGGAGAGGAGTTGCAGGTGTTCTGGTCATATGAATGAATGAACCAGTAGCATTCCACCCTGTTCTGCACAATCTTGATCTGGTCTCTGGGCTTTCATTTCCTTACGTGCTGAAGCTCTGAAGACTTTTTTTCTCCTAGCAGGAGATTGTTCTCAAATTCTTTCTGGAACAAACACTTCACATCTCTCTCTTTCTCTCTCTCTCTCTCTCCCTCTCTCTCCCTATATATATGTGTGTGTGTAGCAATCTGTCTATCTGGTCAAGGGGCACACGGAAGCACATACGGTAGACCCAGATCCTTGTGTTTAGATGTTTTTCTCTGCTTGAGATTTTTTCTGGGCGGTGCCTCCCTGTCCCTCGCGACTTCTTTGAAGAAGCTTCAGATGCGGGGCTGATGGGAGTTGGGTTAATGAAGCCCCTCGTGTCCCCGGACTTCGGCTGCGGCGTCTCCTCGTTCTACGTTGACCCTCTTTCCAGCGTAGAACCCCTCCGGGGGCCCACCGTCATTCCTCCTCGGTCGTCACAAAATATCATCAAATTAATCATTAATAATAATACTATTAATAATATATTACAATAGTAGTTGAGATCGTTATGACTTTCGCACTGGATATTCCAAGTGATCGATGGATTAATCGATCTTACGGTCCTTTGGTCAACGGTCCGGGGTTTGCCGGTGGAGGAAGCAATGGAGACTGAGCACGGTGTGAAAAAGGAACGAGCTTTCGGAGTTCTTTGGACCCACCGCCATGGAAATAATAGTCAGGGAGGGAGGGCGCTGACTTGTGGGGTTCCCCGTCGGACACGGGGACGATGCATATCACGTAGCATCCGTCGTTATGCGGAGGCGACGGCCGCGGTCAAGGGTAGGCAAACCACCTGGAGACACTGGGGGTCCGTGGACCGCGTTGAACACTGCCTCAGACGCAGGCCACCTGAGGAAGATGGCGGCGAAGATACGCCTTTCCAAGAAGGGACGGGAGGGGAGATCGGTGCAGGTCACTAACACAGGGTGGCCCACCTCAAGCGTGGCGTACTACGCAGCTCGGCGGTGGTTGCGAGCAGTTAACCGGCCATCTTCCCCCATCCTGGCGTGAACTGGTCAGCTTCCTCCTCCCTTCGATCTCCTCTTAAAGTGATAGCGTGCCTTCCCTCTTTCTCCCCATAAGAATCAGAAAAAAAAGTAATAGCCCGCTTCAAGTGAGGGAGGGAGAGAGGTAAGGGCGGAGGATGGGGAGAGAAGTGGTGGCGGAGCTGGAGGGGACACTTCTCAGAAGCCCCGATGTTTTCCCGTACTTCATGCTGGTGGCCTTTGAGGCTTCTGGGCTGATCAGATTCGCGCTCCTGCTGCTTCTGTGGCCAGTGGTCCGTCTGCTCGGCGCCGCCGGCCGTGGGGACCTCGCGCTGCGCGTCATGGTCTTCGTCGCCGTGGCCGGCGTTCGGGAGGCGGAGATAGAGGCGGTGGCGAGGGCCGTCCTGCCCAAGTTCTTCCTGGACGACGTGGACATGACGGCGTGGGGAGTTTTCAGCACCTCCTCGGAGGAGAGACGGGTGGTCGTGACGGCGCTGCCGCGGGTGATGGTGGAGATGTTCGCCAAGGATCACCTCCGCGCCGACGAGGTGGTTGGGGCCGAGTTGCATGTCCACCGCGTGGGGATCGCCACCGGGTTCCTCAAGAACGGAACCGACTCTCTCTCCCCTTCTCTCTCTAAGAAAGGCGAGAGACCCAGACTAGGGATTGGCCGACCGTCCTCGTCTTCCTCCTTCCTGTCGCTCTGCGAGGAGCAGCTTCATCCTCCGTTTCTCGCGCAGGAGAAGACCCTGCCGGAGCCCCGTCCGCTGCCGGTCATCTTCCACGACGGGCGCCTAGTGCCTCGCCCCACGCCGGCCATGGCTCTGCTCATCATCCTGTGGATACCCATCGGCGTCCTCGTGGCCTTCGTGCGCATCCTGGTCGGCATCGTCGTGCCGCTCAGGCTCACCCCGTATCTGGTCCGCCCCTTCGGTGGCGAGCTCATCGTGCGGGGCCGCCCGCCGCAGCCCCCGACCAGCGGCACCGGCGGCGTGCTCTTCGTCTGCACCCACCGCACCCTCATGGACCCCGTCGTCCTCTCCATGGTCCTCGGCCGCAACGTCCCCGCCGTCACCTACTCCATCTCCAGGCTCTCGGAGATCCTCTCCCCGATAAGAACAGTGCGTCTGTCGAGGGACCGGCAGGTGGACGGTGACCGTATAAAGGCGGAGCTCGCCATGGGAGATCTTGTGGTCTGCCCGGAGGGCACCACGTGCCGCGAGCCTTTCTTGCTGCGATTCTCCGGGCTGTTCGCGGAACTGACGGACAGGATAGTGCCGGTGGCCATGAACTACCGAGTAGGGTTCTTCCATGCGACGACGGCGAGGGGGTGGAAGGCGATGGACCCCATCTTCTTCTTCATGAACCCTCGTCCTGCTTACGAGGTCACCTTCCTGAACCAGCTGCCCGCGGAGGCCACCTGCTCCGCCGGGAAGAACCCCCACGACGTCGCCAACTACGTGCAGAGGATCCTCGCCTCCACGCTCGGCTTCGAGTGCACCAATTTCACCAGAAAGGACAAGTACAGGGTGCTCGCCGGCAACGACGGCATGGTCTCCTCCCTGGTCGCCTCCGCAACGATCGAGGACCGCTTCAGGAGGCTCCTCGGCTTCTTCTTCCTTCATTGATTCTCTCTCTCTCTCAGCATCTCCGCCATTGATGGGAGCCTGCGAGTAGACGGGGACCTTGCATACCCAACAATCCTCTCATCGAGTGAAGCTTTCTGCTGGGATCCATCTTACTCCCCTCTCCGGGGCGGAGGGCGTTTGTCTCATATTTCTTGTATACTTTATTTATTGTCAATTTTTATGAATTATTATTTTCCGGGGTTCAACTATTGGGCTCACATGCGGACACAAATGGCGACGGCCCATTAATAGGATGGCCCATTAATAGGATGGCCCATTAGTCTCACCGGAACGGACAGTACCCCCCCTCGTCGGCCCTACCTTTTCTCTCTTCTCCCATTGGCTGTCGTGAGAGGCCTACGGGGCCCACCAACGGTAGGCCCCTTCTCGCCCCCCGGGGGAGGGGTGGGCGTTGAGGTGGGGTTCGTCCCACTTTTCTCCTTCCTTCCAGCATCTCTCTTCCTTTCCTGCTCTTTCGATCCATCCTGCGACTCCATCGCCATTTTCTCTCTGGTTTCTAGGGTTTGTTCCTCTGAGGGGATCCATCCATTCCCGGCCGGGGTGGGGGGAGGGGAGGGGGGGGAAGGATCTTATTCCTGGCTTCTTCGTCGGATTTCGTATCCCCCTGATCGTCTCCCTGCTTCTTATCTCCGCCCGCACATCAAAATCGTGGTCTGGAGAGAAGGAGAGGCTCCTCTCCGGAGGAGGACTCTCGCCCCGACCGACGGCGAGGGAGGCTTCGATGTCTTCCGCCGGGGGGGAGACGAGGACGGCCGGCGGCGCCGGCAGCGGAGGCGGATCGGCGTCGTATTGGTGCTCCCGCTGCTGCAGGTTCGCCAGGGTGATGACGCGTGGAGCTCTCGTCTGCCCGGAGTGCGATCCGGGCTTCGTGGAGGGAGCCGAAACGCCACCCCAGATCTCGTCCTCCTCCGGGGCCGGCGGATTCGCCACAGACGTGCTCCACAGCACGTCCAGCCCCGGCGCTTCCCCCCGCCGCCGCCGTCATCACGATTTAGGGTTCCGCCGGGGAGGGCGGACTTCTACCGTCGATCGCTCGCCCTTCAATCCGGTCATCGTCCTCCGCGGCCCCTCTGAAACTGGCAACGATGGCGGCGTTGCAGATGGCGCCGCCGGTGCCTTCGAGCTCTACTACGACGAAGGTGCAGGCACTGGGCTGAGGCCCCTTCCGGCCAGCGTATCGGACTTCCTCATGGGGGCGGGCTTCGACCGCTTGCTGGACCAGCTCACGCAGATCGACACCAACGGGCTTGGAGGAAGATGGTGCGATCAACCGCCGGCGTCGAAGGCCGCCGTCGAGTCGATGCCGACGATCGAGATCTCGGAAAGCTACGTTAATCTGGATTCCCACTGCGCCGTCTGCAAGGAACCCTTCGAGATGGGGACGGAAGCCCGCGAGATGCCCTGCAAGCATATATACCACCATGGATGCATCTTGCCATGGCTATCTCTGAGGAACTCCTGCCCTGTTTGTCGCCACGAAATGCCCCCGGATGTGCCGGTTGGAAGGGCTCCACAGGAGGCAGTGGACGGCGGCGAGGAGGATGGCCTGGGGCTCACGATATGGAGGCTTCCCGGCGGCGGCTTCGCCGTCGGCAGGTTTTCCGGCGGGCGGAGGGCCGGAGAAAGGGAGCTTCCTCTGGTTTACACAGAGATGGATGGCGGATTCAACGCGAGCGGCGGCGCCCCCAGGAGGATATCTTGGACCTCCAGAAGCAGTCGCACCAGGCAAAGCGGACGGGTGAGGCGTGCCTTGGGCAGATTCTTCTCGTTCTTTGGGCGTCTGCGGTGGTCTTCCTCTGCAAGAACCAGCCATGGTTGGACCTTTGAAGAGGTTCGATAGCGGGAGTCTCACTGCGATCTCAAGTGGGTGGTCAATCCCCCTCCTCTCTACAGCTGTGTCCCAATCCTGAAGCGCAGTCGATATCTTCTTCCCTGGATCGCCGTGGAAGGTGAAGAGAACAAGGGTTTTGACAGGAGCAATGGCCGCGCTCCTCTGCATCGCTATCGAATTGCGAGGAAGAAGAAGAAGAAGAAGAAGACGAAGACAGAGAGCTGCGGATGGCTCGGACCCGTCGGCCAGGTAACACTCCTACCATTCAGAGGCTGATACCTTATCGTTTCTCAAGATCACAAGCCCACCCCTTTCTTGTTCGCACATTTGTACTGTAGATTAAACGGATGGATGCCCATAAATTCTTGCAGAGAGTGCCCCCCCTATTATTGATTCTTGCTGTTCTTCGCTCACCCTCAATCACGAGCAAGAATCGTGCTTGAGACTGTGAGAAGACCCCGTGGGGGATCAGAGAGAATCATCGAGTTTCCTCGGATGACCGATGGTCCGCATGAGAGAGAGGTAGAAACGGAGGGTTGAATCTCCGCATCCCGTGTTACTGCGAGCGCCCACCGGCAAAGAGGCGGAGTGGTTGAGACCTTCCTGTCCTGAGGCCACTAGCTCGAGCTAGAAAAAGGAGCTGGACAGCGAGTGATATCTCCAACCCAACCTAATTAGGGATTTTAAGAAGACAGATCTATGTGAACATCCTCTCTCTCTCTCTCTCTCTCTCTCTCTCTCTCTCTCCTCTCTCTAGATATATGTGTCCTCTGTAAAGACGAGCGCTTTATCTCCCCCCTTCTTCACCTCTTTTCCTCTTTAGAAAGGCTGCGCTTACTGGGTCGGTCCTAGCTTTTGCTTGATGGAAAACTTGTAACATCTGGACACTCTCTTTCTCTCTGTCTCTGTCTCTGTTTCTGTCTGTCTGTCTCTCTCTCTCTTCTGGTTTTAAGTGATGTTGGCGGTAGGGGCGACGGATTGTGCGGACGGCGGTGGGCTGCGCGCATTTGCCGCGCTCTCGTGTTGCGCAGCGCTCCACGTAGTTGGTTTCTCTCTCTGCGTCACTCTCTCTCCTCCCTAGCGAGGACATTTTTTTCGCTATCTCAAAAATCATGCCAAAGTTGGGGATTTTTTTCTCCACTGCCCGAATTTATCCCAATACATGTGGACTTCTTCGTCGAATGACTGGGAAACACGTGTCTCTACCTTATCCGAATTCAGCACATGGCTATTTCCGTTAAGGAAAATCCACGCTAAAAAATACTTCAATAAATAAGATGTAAATAAGCAGGCTGGAACAAAGTCCAGCAAACAATCGAATTGATCATTGGATTTCCCCCCTGGCCCACGACCCACAAGCCCATAATGGTTTCACTGGGCTGCATTGCTCGGTCCAGACTCGAATCCTTTCGGCCCACTTCGTATGGATAAGCAAGAGGCCTCTGGGTCTCAGTGAAAAACGTTTGAGCGAGGTCAACTTTCGTTGGTGGCCCCTTCTGATCCTGCCATCTGTATGTTGATCCAAATTCCTCTGGTCTTCCATCGTCCACGACAGAAATTCAGAGAAGCTTCCGCGCCTGACACCGTGGCTATCGGGTCGGGCCGGCCCGATGATGTTGACCCCGCCTCCTTATCCAAGAGATTCGGCCTGACGTGCCCTTATCCTCTGCTCCGACGCCCGATGCCTACCATAAGACAGCGGCAAGCCCATCTCCACGAAGGGTAGAGAGAGAGAGAGAGAGAGAGAGAGAGAGAGAGAGAGAGAGAGAGAGAGAGAGAGAGAGAGAGGGTGTAGAAATGGCGTCTTCAGCTGCTCAGCTCACGTCGTTGAAGTTCCACTGCGGCTTCGCCGGCGGGAGGCCCGCTGCGCCGCCGGCCACCGCCGTGAGTGTCGCGCCGCCGTCGAAGGGGAGGAAGGTGCGGTCGGCGGTGGTGGTGGCAGCGGTGGGTGACGTATCGGCGGAGGGAACCACGTACCTGGTGGCCGGCGCCATAGCGGTGGCGCTCGTGGGCACAGCGTTCCCCATTCTCTTCTCCCGCAAGGACCTGTAAGATCCCCCCTCCCCCCAATCCTCTTATCTCTCCTCATCCCCAATCTCGGGGAGGACTGGATCTGGGCCTTTAATCGACCTATGTGGTCGTATTGGATCATAATGGGCCGTGTGCTGCAGATGCCCGGAGTGCGACGGGGCCGGGTTCATCAGGAAGTCGGGAGTGACGCTGCGGGCCAACGCGGCACGCAAGGACCAGGCCCAGATCGTCTGCCCCAACTGTAATGGGCTCGGCAAGCTGGGCCAGATCGACAAATGATCTGCCTATATTCCTTGGCTTACAAATGGGCCGACTTGTGGGTCTCATAGAATCTCCTCTCCTCCCCTCCCCCTCCCCTCCCTTTCCTTGCTGTATCCGTACCGGTCAGTCTGTATCATGAGCACGTGGTTCTTTGTTGTTAGTTGGCCCATTTGGGTCGAAACCACCCAATTTGGGCCAACTTATATAAAGTCCACTGGATTTAGCCCATTTTAAAATTATGGCCCATAAATAAGTGTTTTGGGCCGTGCGATCAAAGATGCGAAGTAATACTTGGGCCCATTTAGATACCCTGGCGGAGGACCGTTTGTAACGTGGAAGGGATAGTTTGACCAGAGTTTTTTTCGAGCTGCCTAGCGTCTTGTCCCCCACTCCCCTCTCTCTCTCTCTCTCTCTCGCTCCGTTCCCGCGGTATAGAGAGGTCTCGCCGCCGAGAGGTCAGCAGCTTTCAAGGGGGAGGAAGGCTCCATTTCCGGGTCGAGTTGGTGAGTTCTTCTGTACCTTTGCGTTCATGGGATCGTTCGCTCGCATGCATTCGGCGGCTGAAGCTTCCCCAAGTTTGGATGAGTGTAGAGGCGGAAATCATGGTCTAGATCGCTAGCTAGGGCTCACATTTTCTGTTTTCTCCGAATGCGCGGCCGATTGTGGGCGGTGAGCTTGCCCGTTGCCGGAAAGCTTTGGGTCCGTGTGCCCATTTAGCTGAGGATTTTTTCTCTCTATTTTTCTTAAATGTTCAATGTGTTTCTTCCCGGTGAAGTTCGGGAGCACACGGCTTCAAACTCTGTGAAGGGATCTTTCAGGAACCCATGAGTTTCGTCTTTCGGGGAGCGAGAGGAGAAATCGGGGGTGAGTTCTCCAGATTCCTGCGGGAGAGGCGCGCAGCGGTAGTCACTCTCTCGCCGTACATATAATTTGGATCGGAATCCAATTCATCGGTGCTGACAATGCCCCTCTCACTTCCTCAGCGTCTCCATGACGGAGGTCACCCCGTGAGTGCCAACTCAAGGGTGTTTCTCCTCACAGGTTTCTTCCTCTCCAGCTATGTTTCGGATGGTTCCATTCATGGATGGCTGAATCCGCTTTTTCCTGCAGTTCTTCTGTTGTTCGTGGTCCTGAACTCCCACCAGATTTCGCCTAATTTTCTGGTACGTGATGGTTTCTTTTCTCACGGTGGGCTAAATCCGGTAGGTTTCCGGTCAAATTGCCAATTTTTCTCACTGGGTCCTCGCGCTTGCAGATTTGGTTGCTGCTGAGCGCTTTTCTGATGGCCACCGCCATCCGGATGTGCGCAGCATGCCAGCAACTCCACGCGCAGGCTCAAGCTCATGCAGCCGTCGCAGCCGGTGGGCTCCTCGGGCATGCCGAGCTCCGTCTGCAGATGCCTCCTGCCGCAGCTTTCGCCGCCAGCGGGAGGCACCAAGGCCTGAGGCTCCAGCTCGCCCTTCTTGATCGCGACTTCGATGATTTAGGTGTTGTGGCTTATTCTCACAATTTTCAACCTCATGGCGCATCTGTTTCTAAGCTAACCCACACAATGCCGCGTGAATTCTAAGTTTACTGGTCTTCCGCTCATTCTGGGGGTAGATTACGACGCTTTGAGAGCACTGGACGCTGGTAGTAATGCTGCTGCTCCTTCCATGACCGAGGAAGAGATCGATGCTCTTCCCGTTCGCGAATACAAACTTCGGCCGGATGATGGGTCCGCTGGTTCGCAGCGGTAAGCTGGATTGATCTCCTGCTGCAAATCACCCATGAAAGCCCGTCCCTTTCCTGCGATCTTTTATTTACTGAGCGAAAATTTATGTTTGCTGATGAATCTGAAATCCTCTGTTGTGTGGTCAGTGGCGGGGCTTCTCTGCAACGAGCAGCGCCATCATCATCAGCATCCTCTTCTTCTTCTTCTCCTTCTCTTGTAGCCGAGGTACCCCATCCCCGGAATTCAGCTTTGCCCCAATCATGCATGAAGCGTTGTGTGTCTGTAGACTGTGTAATTGAGCATCCATAGACCAGCGAAGTCACCAGGAGCAAGTATCTGAATCACCTTCTAGAGGGAAGGATCTTTCTTTCATGATAAAGAAGCACCTAGAGGAGCCCTTTCCGATCGTCAAAAAAATCGATTTAATTGCCCAGGTCAATCGAAGATGCACGTTTTGCAAATTACTACCCTCAATTGGATATCAACACTCACGTGACCTGATTTTCCGAGTGATATGGCTGTTTAATTGAATAGAGACGAATAATGGACATGGAAAATATTGAGTGTATAGGAATATATTGTGCATTTTTTTCTGGACCGCCTGGTCTTTGCTTCGTTTTCTTCCCGCAGGAACCTTCTGTTGTCATTTTTTTGCTCGGTTTTGAGAGGCGTTTGCTCTTTAATAATATTTCTATTTTTTTCGGAGTAGAAGGAACATGATGCTGCAAAATCAGAGAGAGATCGCCGAAGCCCTGCAGATGAACTCACTTGTAGCGTTTGCTTGGAGCAAGTTTATGCTGGAGAATTAGTCCGTATCTTACCATGCTTACATCAGGTACTCCCCCCATAGTTTTTGGTATTGTGGAAGGTCAATTCGAAAGCAGGAGACGATCCAAGATGAAGATAGTAAGCACCAATGGTTCAATCATTCCTGGAGTGTAGTTAATCTCTGTTCATTCCAATTCATTAAAGATGCATCATATGACAATGTTAAAGGTTTTATATATTTTTCTTGAAATTGCAAAAAGAAAAAATATTGGGAATTTTCTTGAAATTACCCCAACAATCGAAGAGAAAGAGAACAAGTACCCATATCTTGTTTGATTGGCTTTTTCCTGATTCTATACATTCTTTTTAGGGTTTTTCTTTAGCTATCCAACAATCGGAGAGAGAGAGAGAGAGAGAGAGAGAGAGAGAGAGAGAGAGAGAATAAGTGTCAATAACTTGATCCCTCCTTGAGTGATCTCTCGAGGATTATGGGGTGGAATGGGGGGAGGTTCCTGATATTTCCTGATTATAGATCTTTTGAATGAAGTTGTTTCTACTAATGTGCTGCGCTTACAGTTTCATGTGGCCTGCATCGATCCGTGGCTGCGACAGCAGGGAACTTGCCCCGTCTGCAAATATCGGGCCGCCCGCCGGTGGCAGGACAGCAGCGGAAGCAGTGAAGCGGACCCATCTTTCATGGTTTAATGTACGGTACAATTCCAGAGGTTTGTTTAAAGCTTCGTCTAATGGCGTTGGTTTAGCCTTAAGATCTGACTAAATCATCAGTCCGCCGTCTTCTCCAGTTCTTGACGGTGGGCCTAACCATGGTGTAGAATTTAGAACCAGTGGAGATGGAGAGATGGAGAGAGAGAGAGAGAGTATCTCTCCTAGTGTAGAACGCCCGTTTGACAATGGCGATTATAAATCCCGATCGTATGGTGAATTTGTTGGATCTTTGTTTCACTTGTCCTGATCTTTAGGAAGAGTTGATGCTAATATCACTTGACTCTCTCTCTCTCTCTCTCTCTCTCTCTACCCCTGATAAGAATCGCTCCAGGGTCCCAATGGGCTGTGCCGGGCCCTGTCCGTGGAGACCCTGTGCCCATGGGGACCCTGGAGTGATTCTTATCAGGGGTGGAGAGAGAGAGAGAGAGAGAGAGAGAGAGAGAGAGAGAGAGAGAGAGAGGAGAAGAGAGATGCAGGCAATCTCCCGCAGGTACCGGGGCCTAACTTGT